GTCCTCTCCAGGCTCGGGCTGTTGGGGGGGGGCTGTCTGGTTGGGCTCGCTCGCCTCTGAGGTCGAGCCAGGTTGAGTCGACTGCCCTGAGTCGGCTGGTGCTCGCCCCCAGTGAGCTCCCCATGGTCGTGGCGAGGATGGCGTCGAGGGCTTCGTCGGTTAGAGGCTGGAAGGGGTGTGATGGGCCTTCGCATCTTGGGACCCCTCTTGTGGTGGACTGCATGCGTGAGCGCGCATGCCGCGTCAGCGGTGAGAGCGGCATTTTGAGACAAGATCCTTCTACCTGTGGGGTTCCTGGAGCCCGTTGGCGGGTTCTGGGTCCAGTCCGCATCAAAGGCTGTCAGCAGCCTGTCTGTTAGGTGAGCTCCCGCCAGCATCTGCCTGACCTGTCTTTCCAGCTGGAGCATGGAAGTGCCCCAAGCCATGGTACTGAGCACGGTCCTCCACATCTCTGTCGGGGCATCCCAGTCCCTCCCGCTGCGCGGGGGGGCCAAGGGGGTCCAGTATTTCTGCGGCGCGGTTGGGGAGAGAGCTCCACCTGAGCTCAATGCAGGGCGGGAGGTGCGGTCCTGCTCTGGGGGTGTCTCCCCTTCCCAGTGGGTCGCTGGATGGGTTTCCTAGGGCGCTGCCTGGTGGGGGCCTTCTCCTGGGCTCACCGCCGGGGTGGGCCTGCACTGCCTGCGGGGTGTTCCCTGGTTCCGGATTCGGAGTTTGCGCGCGGCCGGCTCTTTCATTCCCCTGTCTGTCGCAATCCGCGTGGGACGTCGGCGGCCGGGGAACCCCGATACCTTGAACTCGGGGCGGGGGGGGGGAAGTCTCCTGGGTCGGGGCGGCTTGTGGTTCGCTCGGCGCGGGTCGTCCGGGCTGGCCGTCTGCCCGCCGGAGACTGCGGCGGGGGCTGCGAGGCGCCCCCACTCCCTTCTTCCGGCCCCGCTCCCCCGTCCTGGCTGGCATCGCCACCTGCTCGCGTCGGGAGGTTGCAGCCGCCAGTCGCGCCCTCTGGGTGGTCTCTGGAGGGTGGGTTGTCGCCGCTGTCCCGCTCGAGATTATTGGGCCGCTGTCCTTGTCTCGCACCGCTGGTGGCCTCGTCTGGCGGGGGAGGCATTTGCGGTGGTGCCCGCTGGGCGACGAGGGGGGGGTTGGCGGAGGCTGCGGGGCGGGGTGGTCCCGAGTCTGCGGGTCGCAGGCGGCGGCGCTCTGCTCCGCCGCTGGTGGCCTGCTCGGATTCCGGTTGCGTCTAACCTGCGCCTGCTCGTCTTGCGCCAGGTTCGTCCCGCTGTTGTTTAGGGGGTTGGCTCGCTGGCCCCTGGATGCCCTTCGGAGGTCCGGGGGCTCTCCCCGGGTCGTGGCGGCGTCTGTCCTGCGCTGCGCTCCGTAGCCTTCCGTCTAAGGCACGCAGCCTCTCGGCGGTGCCTGGGGCGAGCAAGAGCGCGGTGGAGCCGTCGATCTCGGTGCCCCTGCTTCCAGGGAGCTCCAACCACGGATGGCGCGCCGCGCTGGCGGGGTCGGGCTCGGGGGAGAGCCGCTGTGTGAACGGAAGCTGCCTGGTGGCCTCCTCCTTTATCCCTAGCTCGCTGATGAGCTGGAATACGTGGTCTCTGTCCAGCTTGCTCGTGTCAGCCAGCTGGAGGATCCATATGGCAGCAAGGAGGTCCCAGTTAGATATCAGGATAGGCCTGCCCTCCCCCTGCCTTCGCTGCTCCAGCACGAGCCCGGTTTGCATGCTCCTGGCCATGTCGTGGATGCACTGCTCTCCTGCGCAGGCTAGGAACCTCCCGAGCATGCCCCGTGCGCATAGCACAGCATCAGTTTCCGCCCTCGCGAGAGCAGCCCTGGGCTCAGAGCTTGCCTGGCTCCTGCGTGCGAGCACCTATGCGAGGTGGGGAAACGTTCTTCTTGGGCGGGCTGGGCCTGGGAGGGAATCCACTGCCGCCCGTCTTCTGGGGGGCAGGGGTGGGCTGGCTGATAGGCCGGTGTCGATCCCTAGATCCACCGGTCTGGGGGCGCGGGCGGGAGTCGCGTCAAGCTTGGCGAGGTGCACTGGGCCGTGCGTCAGCTGCAGAGTTACCCTGGCTTGCGGGCGGCCCGCCCCCCTACTGGCAGCTCGCCGTGGATGGCATTGGAGCCTGCTGGCCCCTGGGCCGCATCGGTAGCTGGAAGACCCCAGCCTCGCTGGCGAGCGCTCCCCGTCAGAGCTCCACGGGTGGCGCCGCCCGTGCTCAGGGTCGCCCGATTGACCCTCACGACTGCGCAGCGATCGGGCGATCTCGGGCGGCAGGGTCCGATCTGTCCTCGATCGCGTTGGGGCCCCCCCAGGCGCTGAACACGTCGCTATCGGAGGTGCTTCCACTGGTCTCGCGAGCATCAAGAAGCCACTCCCAATCGATTTCCTCCCAGGGCTGCCGTGGGCCTTCAGTCTCGATTGGGTGGAGGGGGAGTGCGGGGGAGATGGCCTGGTCCTCGCTGGACACGCGCGTCTAAACCTAAGGTGATGCGTGATGCGGCCCTGGTCCAATGTGATTCCGAGGTGGGCGCTCTCGTAAGCCTCGAGGCCCCTCGGAGCATCCGCCGTGGGTGTTTGCATGCGCTGATCTTGAGTTGCGTCGTGAAGGGGGGTGCAGCTACCGCCGCAAGAGTCACTATTTGTTGGTGGTTGCCTCCGTCTCCATCGCCAGCTTGCACCTCGGGGGTGCAGCTAGCTGCCGCTGGGTTCACTCTTCCGTTCACATTGGGGGCGCAGCTAACCGCCGCAGGAGTCACTGTTAGTTGGTGGTCGCCTCCGTCTCCGTCGCCAGCTTGCACCTCGGGGGTGCCGTTGGCCGCCGCTGAGTTCACACTTGCAGTCGCATTGGGGATGCATCTCACCGCCGCAAGAGTCACTATTTGTTGGTGGTTGCTTCCGCCTCCGTCGCCAGATTGCACCTCGGGGGTGTGATCCGCCCCTGTCTGGGGAGATACCAGCGCCTGCTCTCTGGGGGGGTGGGCGACGTCCTCCGCAGCTGCGTGCTGTTGCGCCTCCTCCGGGCGCTCCCTGGGGCTCACCTCTTCCGCTGCCTCTCGGGGCCCCCTTGGGGCGCCATGGTCAGCCTCGGGGAGTTGGATGGCCCCTCCTGCTGGTGGCGCGGAGTCTTGAGCGGCTCCGAGGCTTGGAGAGGAGGGGGGCGTGGAAGGGGACAGGGATCGAGATGGGGTCCGGAGTGGGAATGGGGGGAGTTAAGACAGGACACCCCCGAACCTGAGTATCCGTCTCCATGCCCCTTTCGTTCCTGTCCAGTCCGCCGCTCTCACTGAAGTGGCACGAGAGCGTTCGAGGGGGTTCGATGGCGTCCCTGGGGGTTGCTCGCCTCAACTCGCCCCCTTCTGGACTGCCACCGCGCCCCGAGGGGCGCCGCATCAGGGCTGGCTCAGGATCGCTACGCACCTCTACTGGGGGCGTCGCAGCCGCCACGGGTGCAGGCTTTGGCGCCTGGGGGGGTTCGACCGCGGCCAGTGACTGGACTCCCGCGCCCTGCACTGAGTGGTCCCCATCCCCCTCGATGCGACCTGATCGGTGGTTCTCCCCGCTTCCCATGGCCCCGCCTAGGGGGGGCTAAAGGCGACAGCTGAAGCCCGCGCTGCCTGCCTGCGCCGCTGCTGGGATGGCGGGCGCGCGATGGGGGGCCCGAGGGGGCCCAGGGCCGCGGGCCCGCCGAGCAGCGTCCGGGCGCCCCGTTGATCACGGGAGACTGGCCCGAGGGGGCCAGGCCCGTGAGATGGCTTGAGCCGTCGGGGCTACGGAACTGGCGGGGATACGCGAAGCGTCAAACATTTTCTATGTCGACCTGGCCAGGATGGGTGTAGGTACATACGCGTGACACACAAGGACATACTAGGTTAATACATGTCCTCCTTGGAGGCGCGCGTCCGACCCGAACATATCGTACACCCATCTTGCAGCGTAGCGTTACCCGAGCGGTGTGGCCAGAACGTCTCGGTGCGCGCGTCGCCCCTGGAGGGGGGCGACGCACGCATAGCATCAGTCGGTTGGGGCGACGCGGATATACAGCGGACACATACGATTGGAAACTCTGTGTTACGAAAATACTGTTGGGTCACTTTCTATGTCGATCTTCGACGGCCCCGAGGTGCCCCGGAACTTCTGTGAGCCCCTGGCCCCTTGAGCCAAAATGGAGATCTCCCACTTCCGATGGGGCTCCCGTCGGAGCAGGGCGAATGGAGCCAGCGGCAGCTCAAAGTCGGTCTGCGGATCCCTTCCAAGGTCCAAACGCACCAGTTGTCTGAGCTGCATCCAGCCGTGGTGACAAGTGTCCTCCTCCTCCTCCTCCTCCTCCTTCTCCTCCTCCTCCTCCTCCTCGAAGGTCATCGGCTGCGTTGTCCCTACTCGCCATCCTCTATATATCAGAAGTGCCCGCAGGGCAACTGCAGGCGAGCCGATCTCTTACCTGATACACCGCCGCATCGGACCCGAACATGCACCGAGGGCACGGCTTCCCCCAGGGCCGTAGGCGACCCGAAGAGGAGGAGGAGGAGCAGGAGGAGGAGGAGGAGGAGGGAGAAGGAGGTGGACGTGGAGGCGGGGGAGGGGGAGGAGATGGATGTGGAGGAGGAGGAGGAGGAAGAGGAGGAAGAGGAGGAGGAGGAGGAGGAGGAGGAGGAGGAGGAGGAGGGGGAAGGGGAGGAGGAGATGGAGGAGGAGGAGTAATTAGGTGGAGGAGGAGGACAGGTCGCCTAAGCCCTTCGGAGGAACCCTCCATGCACCGAATCGTGCCACGTCGGAACGGAATCGGAATCGAATCGGATCGGCCGCCTCAGAGGGTGCACGACAGCGCCACGCAGGCGGGCCGCGCCGGACCGCCGGACTATGTCGGCATCGGGTCGACTCGGGCCCGCCGAACTCGGCATCGGATCGCATCGATGGGATCGAAACGGATCCTGTGATGTGCCTCGCTGCGGCTGGCGTCCTTCTGCCAGAGAGGCGGGCGGCACGGCCACGGGGTCGCCAGCTCGTCGCAGTGCGAGACCACGGCGGGCGAGTGGCTGCTCCAGCCCAGGAAGAGGAAGACCTGGAGCACGTCGGTGGCGTGCATCTCGCCGTTCCTGAATCGGGGAGACGTAAGACCCGGGTACGGGGGACTCGGAAATCCCCGACGAGGTCGTCAAAAAAATGACGAGGCCGAGCCTGCATTTTGACGAGGCCTCCCGCTGCAGACATCCCACGAAACTCCTCCTCGTCAAAATCCGAGTCGCGGTCGTCAAAAAACGATGGCGAACCCGAGTCCCGGCAAACCCGGGTCTTACGCTCCCCCGACTGAACCGGGCGCAGGCGGCGGAGGAGGCAGCTCCTGGATGGTCTTCGTGAGAACGAGTCTTGGGACGATGAAGCCCGTTTAGCCGGGTGCCGCTTGCGGAGCTCCAGCCGGCGAGGTAAGCGGCTGCGGTCGACAGTGTGGGCGCGGTCGCGAGAAACCATCGCGGAGGAACCTAACCTGGAAAACCTGCGCGCGAGGTACTCCTGAGGGGGGCACCCGGAGCACCCCGACCGCAGCAGCTTCTCCACGGCCGCGGGAAGGTCACCGCGCAGAACGCGGATCGAAGAAACCCAGGGCACCCTGGCGAAAGGCATTTTTTTTTCACTGCGCTTCCTCACAGCATGGTGCACAGTGTGCGCTGCCTTGACACAGCGTGCACGCGAGCTCACGCTGGCTGGCGGAGCACATGCAGAAGGAGGAGGAGGAGGAGGAGGAGGAGGAGGAGGAGGAGGAGGAAGAGGAGGACAAGAACAAAGACGGGGCGCACAACTCATGCATGCAAACACGGCCTCATACTTCGGTGGAGGCACCCGCAATAATGACCCCACAGGAGCGCCAGAAGAGCACAATCCCGTGCGCGCGCGTTGACCTGCAAGCCTTAGCTGGCAGACTCACAACAGGAGCAACGTTGAAACGGGAAGGAGAGAGGAGGGAAAGATGAAAAATGCAAGACGCGTTCGAAAAAGAGGGAGGGAGGGAGGGAAGGAAGAACAGGATGACACGGAGCTGCAGTGATTCTGCCGCTCGAGAAAATACCTGCGCTACTTACTGTTACTGCCCTGGCGCTATAGACGCTGAGTGGCAATGTCACTCCTCGCACCCTGTCCGAAAGCCAGAGAGTATCGGTCGTCCCGAACAAGCAGCGAGCCCACGTGGGCTTCGCAAGGGCCGATGAAGATGGACGACGCCCAGGGCAGGCGAAGTTGGCCTCACGAGCCCTCAGCGGCAGGCTGTGGGGAAGCGTGGGCCCCTCCACCGAAACCAGCTATTCTCTCGCTCGCTGCCTCGAGTTCGCGCTGCAGCTGCAGCTCCCGCTGTTGGGAAGCAGCCAGTGCCAGTCTCAGACTGTGCACTTCGGCGTCCTCCTCCTCGGGTGGCGAATTCAATCTCGGCTTCTGAGGCTCCAGATGCTGTTGGTCAGAGTCTGCGCGCATCCGCGGGATGACGCTCGCGGGAACGCTCGCCAGCTCCTCCTGCGACTGTGAAGAGGACGGCTGCGACTGCTGCTTCGCATCCGTGGGGCTCGTGGTGTTCGCCGGGACTCGCTCCGGCTCTTCCTCCTCACAGACGGTATCCTCTGATTCGGCTGGCGGCCCAGCCTTTCTTCTCCACATCCTCGGGGTGGCCATGGCCACGGCCAGCCCCATGTCATTTACGCGCGTGACACACTCGACCACGACAAGGTGGCATCCGACCACCTGGATAACGATCCCAGAAGCGGCCATAGTTATGCCAATGAACTGAGAGCACAAGAACAAAGAGCTGACGTTTTGAGGACTCTCGTCGCTGAGACCAGCCTGAACATTGCAGAGTGTTCCTACAACGAAGCCCATTGAGTCCTGAAGGTCCCAGCCTTCCAACCATGTCAAAACCAGAGCTTGACAAACGCAGACGAACGCCATCGAAATCGGGCTGTACAGAAAGACGATACGCACGAAACCGGAAACGGACTTGCTTGTTGCCTCCTGGACGACGCCGACGATCTGCAGTCCTCCACAGAAGCACAATACGATCTGTGTGATAACGAACACAACTAGGCTCACGTAGTGGTCGAGCACAATCCCGAACACGCCCTCTGGCTGCAACGAGACGTACGGGCCAAGGCTGAACACGTCCTGCCAGATGTACATGAAGCCGTCTTGGAAGCGCCACCCTTCGGCGAGGGCGATCATCGCGCCCCCCAGCAGCGTGGCGGTGTACAGCAGGCACGGCACCACCACCGTCGTCATGTACGCCAAGGAGCCCAGAGCCTGCCCGTGCCTCGCCGTGAGCCCGAGGCATCGGGCGCAGCTCGACCGGTAGAAGCGTTCGGCGGAGGCCTCCCGCCGCACCTGAAGGGCCTGAACGGCCGAGCCGCAGCGGCCCTGCATCAGCACGCTTGCGTTGCCGTAGGCGGTGAGTGCGGCGAGCGCGGCCACGCTGTAGATCACCGTGAGCTCAATGAGCCACAGGCTGGCCTCGTCGGACAAGGGTCGGGCCATCACGCCCGCAGCCTCCGGCGGCCCGAGGGCGCGGAGGCAGCCGCCGCCCGGCGCGGGAGGTCAGCCCGCCATGGCGCGGGAGGGCCGACCTCACGCGGTCGCGCGCGCGCGCGCCCTCCCCCCCCACCCACCCCCGGGCCCCGAGGGGCGCGGGGGCCTTCTCAGCGGGCGCGGCACCCTGCTTGAGCCAAAATGGCTACGGACCCTGGCGAAAGGCATTTTGGTGCTTTGATGCGCGCCTCCTCTGCAAGCTGTGACAGACCCGGGCGTGCATCCCGCCGCTCATCCATGAGTACCTTATGCTCGCGCTTCGAGCTGCGCTGGCGCGCGGAGCGCGAGAAGCGTCGCGCTCTCGCGCCGTGCGCCGGGGAGAGGAGGACGAGGAGGACGAGGCGAAAGCATCGCCAATCTAGGACGCCCACAGGGGACGTACGCGCCCCCAAACACGTACATGAACGCGGCCCCCCAATCCGCGAGGCCGGTCGCAAAATACGAGCATTCGCGCAATGCGCACCCCCCGAAACCCACGTGGATTCACGCACGCGTACGTCCTTCTTTCGCCCCTGACAATCGCGAACCGCGAACCGCGAATACAGTGGAGGCCAGTCCACAACAAACCTTCCCCAAGAACCCGAAACCCTGAGACTCCAGGACGTCCATTGACTTTTGGTGTGGGAGCGTCACGCTTTCCATCGCAAAACCATCGAAACTCAAGACTCGCAGGGCACCCTGGAGGCAAGCTCAGCATGGGCCCCCGTGGCGCCCTCGTGGCGGCCCTTGGCTCCCGACCAGGGCGCACGGCGGACGGCTGCCGCGCCGGTGTCGGCGCCGGCCTCACGACGCCGCGCGGCTCGCTCACCACATGGGCGTCCCAGGGCATCCGGCGCCTCGAGAAGATCGAGCGGGTTCGGTGGCGTCCGCGGGGTCTCAGCCGCAGCTGCAGACAGTGGAGTCCAGTCCACAAGAAACCTTCGACAAGATACCCAACCCTGAGACCCCAGGACTCCCCTTGACCTTTGGTGCGGGATCGCCACGCTTTCCATCACAAAGCCATCGAAGCCCAGGAAACCCAGGGCACCCTGGAGGCAAGCAGGGTGTTTCTTGGCATGGGCCCCCCTGCAGGCCCCGAAAAAATATGTCAAGATGGGGGGTCAGAAGCACATCCGCTCAACATGCACCCCCAGTCCCCGCCTGGGGTCCACCTCGTGTCATTCCTCGCCCCGGATCTGGTCTTGACGCTCCAGGGCCCGAAAACGGCACCCGAAAAGACAGGGTTCAAGGCGATAGACCTCCTTGGACCCAGAACCTCGATCGCCCACCCGTCGTGCTGGTCGGAACCAGTATTGGGCCACCTCAGAGCTCGATTAGGGGATCGACGACACAATTGATGTACCCCAAACTTGGTGCGTTGGTCGAATCTATAAAACCATACGTATAGCATTCGTACACCCACCTGTAATTATACATATCTTGCTAGATTCGGCGGACATCGAAAAAGAAAAACGCCATACAAATAAATGTTTGCGCTCCGCGAGAAGTTCTTCGATCTGCGCTGGACCCCCCTCCCTGGCGCGCGGAAAGGCCAGGGGCGGCGCCGGAAGCGCCGCCAGGAGGGGGGGCCCAGCGCGGACTCAAGGAATCCGCGCGGGGCGCCAAAACCGTATGTAGGTGGCGATTCCCCCCCCCCCCCCCAGAAAATCAATAGCGGGCGTGTTCTTCCCCGTGCCGCTCCCCCCCTCGGAAAATATGAATTCTGAGGTAAATCAACTCTGTAGTCCGTCACCTGCTCGAAGAGCCCCGGCTGGCTCCAGGAGCGGGCGTTCTTCCCCGTGCCGCTGCGGGCGGCGGGCCACCGCGGCCTCGGGCACCAGGGCCGTCCAAGGAGGCGCTCGGGGCGGCAGGCCCCCCCCCCCCACGGATGGAGCCAAAAGGGCACGCCACAGCGGAGGGAGTCAAGTAGAGAGCAGAAACCTCCTCCTCCTCCTCCTCCTCCTCGCCACTCCTCGCTCCTCGTCATCCCTCCTCCTCCTCCCTCCTCCTCCTCCTCCTCCCCTCCTCCTCCTCCTCCCCCTCCCTCCTCCTCCTCCTCCTCCCTCCTCCTCCTCCTCCTCCTCCTCCTCCTCCTCCTCCTCCCCCCTCCTCCCCCTCCTCCCCATCCTCCCCCTCCTCCTCCTCCTCCTCCTCCTCCTCCTCCTCCTCCTCCTCCTCCTCCTCCTCCTCCTCCTCCCAAAGAAGGCATCGCATAGGGCAGGGCTGTTCGGCAAACGCCCAAGGCCGTTTCGCAAACGCCAAGTACCGGGTCAGGGTGGATGTTCCCCCCCTTGACCAAGAGGCCAGCGATGCCCACGCCTCGAGCCCGCCGACTCCCGCTCGCGGGGGGTGACAAGGCGTGTGAGAGAACTGGCTGTGCCTCTTCCCCTTGTGAACGTTTTCTTATTCGGCGTTTCGGCATTGAGCGAAAGGGGGTGGGTCTGGCTCCAGACCTCTACTAAATGCGACTGGTTGGAACAGTGCTACCATGGGGGATCCCATGCGGAGGCGGGGCCCATGTGCTTACTTCACTTGCTTGAAGCAGGCACCACAAAGAGCCAAGATCTATTCCAGGGGGGGAGGGGTCGGAGGGGGTGCGAGGACATGCGCCGATCGGCAAAACAAGTGACAAGAAAACGAACGCCTTCCCCCTCCCAGGGTCCTAAGTCGTGCTCGAGCACGCCCGCACCCTGGGGGCCACGAGCTCGCCAACGCTTCTCCAAGCGGGATCCAGCACGCAACAGAAGCCTCAAAAACACCAGCGATGACCACAAGACGGCCCAAGAGGCCTCGAAGACGCCCCCACAGGACTCCAAAACGATCTCCATGAGGGCCCCAAGAGGGAGCATCGTCCCAATGCCTTCGGAAAGCGTATCTTTCTAGCACGTTCACCCTCTTTGTCTTCGCAGCGTCCAAGACAGCCCACGAGGCTCACAACAAGATCGCTCCGCAGCGACCCAACAAGCCCCCCCTGAGGGCCCCCCAAACGACGCTAAAGACGGCCCAGGCGGACCCCAAAGACAAGCCTGAGAGAAGCACCTAAGTCGAACTCATCTTTCGAACCCTCCGCCACGTGCAGATCCCCGAAACGGCAGGCATGCGCCCAAGGATCCCCCAAGGCTATAAGAAAAAACCCGCAGGCCCAAAAGCAGCATCATGGCGCCATCAAACTGCCCCCCTCAAGTACAAGAAGGCCTTGTCTGGTGAATATGTTTCCTCTCCTGGTGGACCTCTGGTGCGTGCCTCCAGGATACCACACGTCAGCAAGGTCGGTGTCAAATGCGTTCAAGCCCTCCCATTTTCCTCCTCCTCCTCCTCCTCCTCCTCCTCCTCCTCCTCCTCCTCTTTCTCCTCGTCGTGCTCCTCCTCCTCCTCCTTTCCCCTCCTCCTCCTCCTCCTCCCCCTCCTCCTCCTCCTCCTCCTCCTCCTCCTCCTCCTCCCCCCTCCCCCTCCTCCTCCTCCTCCTCCTCCCCCTCCTCCTCCTCCTTCCCCCCTCCTCTTCCTCCTCATCCTCCTCTCAGTTCTTCTTGTCGTCCTCATTCGTGGTTACGAGGGCGCCATGGCTGTCGCACTCGTCGGGCGTTTGTCGGACTCCTGGCCCCGTGCTCGGACTCTCGTGCGTCTCAGGAGAACTCCACATCTACCCTGCGCCTCTCTCTAGAAAGCACCACGTCGACCACGCAGCTTGCTAGAGCGTCGCGCTCAAGCGCCCCTGTGACCCTGGCGATCGCCGCCATGAACCGAGCTGGCTCGATATGCGGGACACTGGCGGCGTTTGAGGAGAAACGATAGGGTCGGGGGCGGCCAAGAGGGGGGCGTCCAAGAGGGGGGCGCGCAAATCATGGCCGGCGGCATGCGCGCGGCCCAGGGGGGGGCCAGGGACGTAAAGAAATAAGAAGAGGCGCCGCGAAACCTGGGGAAATAACATGGCACACGCCATGGCATCCACCACCCCCTAGTCATCACCCCCCTCTTTGCCGCCCCCGAGAAGCGACAGGGGCGGACCGCCTCAGGAGGGGGAGCGTCGACCGGGAACCGGCGGTGCATCGCCGATAACAGGCCTCCGAGCACGCTCCAGGGCGTGGAGTGGGCCAACTGCCCGCCATCGGGCCCCGCATCGACGATGAACATGCGAGCGAGGGTCGATGATCCCCCCAGCCCACATGCCACCATAAAGGCAAACGAACCTACCTCGCCTTTTGACAATCCTCGCTTCCAAAAGGTACCACACGATACCAAGCTGCGGCCCGCGTCAGCCAGGCCGCTCAGACCCAACGATCCTCGTCGTCCAGTTTCCGTGTCGGGCCACCAGGGCACTTCGGGACGATTCGGGCACCCCCGGAGCGCTCTCGGCTAGGCGCAGCTGACGGAAGAGGCCCCGAGAGGCTGGGAAACTGCCGAGAGCCAACGACAACGTCCGAAAACGTCCGCCCCGACTGTTGGCCCTGGGGCGTTCAGCATCTTGTCGTCCGCGCCTGCGCCAGCGCAGCCGCCTCGCAGGCGCGGCGCAGTGCTGCTGTGGGCGGGGGCTCAGTGGGCCCTGGAGGCCGTTTTGTTACCGGTTCCGTTTTGCCGATTTTTGCCGGTTCCGACGCCATTGTTTTACTGGTTCCGTCGCCGTTTCTGTTACGGATTCCCGCTCCGGTTCCACTCCTGGAGCCGTTTTTGTTGCCGTTTCCGGTCGCCGTTTTTTTGCCGTTTCCATTTTCAAGGGGCACTTCTTCGGAACCGGTGAAAAAACGGCCCTGCCGTTTCCCGGACCCACTGAGGGCGGGGGGCGTCGGCGGGTGCTGACGCGGAGCTGGGCAGCCCCCGCCCGCTCGGGAGGGCGGAGGGCGCCAGCATGCCGCCCTGCCCACAGGCCCGAAGCGGCTCACGAGGCCGGAAGGCCTTTCGGAATCGCCACGGGCGCCTCCAGCGAGGCGCTGGCTCCGGCATCCCAGGGGAACACGGCCAGGGGCGTTCGCACGGGCGAGTGTGGAGGAGGAGAGGGAGGACCAGCGTAGGCCCAAGACGCACCAACGTTGCTGCAGGAAGCCCTCTCTCCATGTTCCCTCGTCGCAGGTCACTCCCCTCGAACCTCGGACCTCGAACCTCGCGGGGGAGGTCGGGTTGCATTGTCAGGAGACGTCGAGTCCGGAGCGGCGTCGAAGAAGCTGCCCCAGGGCCGGGGCCCCGTCCTGGACCACTTGGAGAACGCATGCCGCAGCTCGTGCAGCTCGTCCTGTGCGGCGATGCCACCACCGTCGTCGAGGAGAAGGGGCTACGAATGAGGAGCAGGGGGATCAGTAGGAGGGAGATCAGGATGAGGAGCAGGGGGATAAGTAGCAGGGAGAGCACGAGGAGGGAAAGGAGAAGGAGGAGGAGGAGGAGGAGGAGAAGGAGGAGCAGGGGAGAAGGAGGAAGAGGATGAGGAGGGGGAGGAGGAGGAGGAGGAGGAGGGGGAGGAGGAGGAGGAGGAGGAGGAGGAGAGGAGGAGAGGAGGAGGAGGAGGAGGAGGAGGAGGAGGAGGAGGAGGAGGAGGAGGAGGAGGAGGAGGAGGAGGACGAGGAGGGGCAGGAGGGGGATGAGGAGGAGGCTGTAGAGGAGCACCAGGCTTGGGGAGGGGAGGGCTCGTCCGCCATCCCATCGCTTCCAGCTCGAGCGTCATGCCGTTCGTGGCACCGGTGCAGCACGCTCGAGGCTGCCCTGCCCCGCCGCAGGCAGGTAATGACGCCACGGGCGTGTGCTCGCCCAGCCGTCAGCTCGCACGATTACGTCGTATTGCCCCTGAGCGCGCGACCGCCCAGTGAACGTATCGAGGAGGAGGAGGAGGCGGAGAAGGAGAAGGAGGAGGACGGATGAGAAGGAGGAGGAGGAGGAGGAAAGGGAGGAGGGAGGAGGAGGAGGAGGAGGAGGAGGAGGATCAGCAGGAGGAGGAGGAGGGGGGGAGGGAGGAGGAGGAGGAGGCGATCGAGCGATGCCTTGGCAGCTGCTGACTCCCGACGGTGGGCACGCCTGTGGTACCGTATGGCGCATGGCCCACGAAGGCCTGCTGGGCCCACGTCGACTCGCGGGCGGGGCTAGAATTAGTTCGGACCTGTCCCCCCACACAGGGACTTTGGACGAAAAATTCAAAATCATCAAAAAGATTCAACAAATTATCAAAACTATTCAAAGATCGCCCCCACACTATGTTTTGACGATTTCCCACATCCAAAGTGGGGTTCTTGTTTTCACTGCACTCCCTCGGCGCAGGAACCTCCCTCCCACTCTCCGCCTCACTCACGCATTCACCCCGTCATCGGTCATCATCACCACCGGTCGTCATCATCACCACCACCACCATCATCATCATCATACTCAGTCGCTCACCATCGATCACCATCACCACCGGCCATCGATCATCATCATCAGCAACATCACCACCACCGGCATCATCATCATACTCAGTCTCACATCACACACACACTCTCTCTCATCACTCAACATCATTTTCCTAAGGCCTGAATATGGGGGAAGTAACAGGCGGGAGGCTCGTCTGTGAGTGAATTGCCAGAGAGTCTCAGGCGGGAGCCCTCTCCCTATGGGGCCCGCACTTGACTTTTGTTTGTTGTTTTTAATCCGAGCGGGTCATCCTCGAATCTGTAACTGTCGTCACTCTTGGGCTCCTGAGGCCTGAATTTTGGGAAAATATCAGGCGGGAGGCTCGTTTGTGACTGAATTGCGAAGAAGCCTCAAGCGGGAACCCTCGCCCTATGTGGCCCGCACTTTCTGTTTTTCTTAATCCGAGCGGGTCATCCTCGATCCTGTAACTGTCGTCACTTGTAGGCCTGAACATGGGGAAGTATCAGGCGGGAGGCTCGTCTGTGCTTGAATTGCCAGAGAGTCTCTTGCGGGAGCCCTCTCCCTATGTGGCCCGCACTTCCTGTTTCTAACCCGAGCGGGTCATCATCGAACCTGTAACTGCCTTCACTTTTGGGCCCCTGAGGCTGCACATGGGGGAGGTATCAGGCGGGAGGCTCGTCTGTGAGTGAATTGCCAGAGAGTCTCAGGCGGGAGCCCTCTCCCTATGGGGCCCGCACTTGACTTTGGTTTGTTGTTTTTAACCGAGCGGGTCATCCTCGAACCTGTAACTGTCGTCACTCTTGGGCTCCTGAGGCCTGAATTTTGGGAAAATATCAGGCGGGAGGCTCGTCTGTGACTGAATTGCGAAGAAGCCTCAAGCGGGAGCCCTCTCCCTATGGGGCCCGCACTTCATGTTTCTAACCCAAGCGGCTCATCGTCGAACCTGTAACTGTCGTCACGTTTGGACCCCTGAGGCCTGAATATGGTGGCGGGAGCCTCGTCTGTGAGGGAACTGTGAGGAAGTCGAAAGCGGGAGCCTCGTCGGTGGGTGAATTGCGAGGGAATCTCAGGCGGGAATCCCCTCCCAATGAGGCCCGCGCTCCATGTTTCTAATCCGAGCGAGTCACCCTCGAACATGTAACTGTCGTCACTTTTGGGCTCCTGAAGCCTGAATATGGGGGACGTATCAGGCGGGAGGCTCGTCAATGAGTGGATTGCGAAAAGTCTCAGGCGAGAGGCGTCTCCCTATGGAACCCGCACTTCATGTTTCTAACCCGAGCGGGTCATCATCGAACCCGTAACTGTCGTCACTTTTGGGCTCCTGAGGCCTGAACATGGGGGACGTATCGGGCGGGAGGCTCGTCTGTGAGTAAATTGCCAGAGAGTCTCAGGTGGGAGTCCCTTCCCTATGGGGCCCGCACTTCATGCTTCTAATCCGGGTCATCCTCGACCGTGTAACTGTCGTCACTTTTGGTCTCCTGAGGCCTGAACATGGGGGACATATCAAGCGGGAGGGTCGTCTGTGAGTGAACTGTGAGGAAGTCTCTTGCGGGAGCCCTCTCCCTATGAGACCCACGCTTCCTGTTTTCAATCCGAGCGGGTCATCCTCGAACCTGTGACTGTCGTCACTCTTGGGCTCCTGAGGCCTGAATATTGGGGAAGTATCAGGCGGGAGCCTCGTCTGTGAGTGAACTGCGAGGAAGTCGAAAGCGGGAGCCCCTTCGTTATGGGCCCCGCACGACAGTGAAGGTTATATCCACATTAGCTGAAAGGATTTTCGTGTGGGGTCTTTCCGTCGGACTATTGTGCACATTCCTCCCGTAGAGGGACAGGCCCGACGTAAGGCTAAGACAGGGAAGCCACCGCCACGAAATCGGAGCGCGCGCGGCCGATCGGCTCGTCGCGCCCTTCGAGAGGATTGCTTCGCTCTGCAGGTGGCCTGGAAAGGAAGATGCGGAGAAGGGAGAGGGAGGACGTCGAAGGGCTCCTGGGACTCAAGACGCCCTCCTTTACCTGAGGCCCCGGGCGCGTTCCGTGCAGGGCAGTCGGCCCCCCCCCTTGCCGCTTCTTGCTCAGACGATTCAGCTGGTCAAAGATGCCTGCCTCCGAACCGAAACACCAGCAAGGTTTTCTCCGTGGCCCCCTTCCCGTCAGTCCTCACGCCCCACCGTTGGCCTGGCCAGCGGCAGCGCTGACCATCGGCAACCCGACCCCAAGAGGGACGGACAGGGGACCGACCACGACGACGACGACGACGAAGGCGGCGACGACGACGACGAGCGAACCCCCTGCAACGCTGTAACACCAAGTACGGTCAGAAACTGCTGCTTGGCGTGCCGCGGCGGCGGCCCCAGCGATACGCTGTGCCCTGCGGGTGGATAGTGTCTTGCTGCGCTCCGCGGGGCGGAAGGCTCGGAGAGGCTCCGAACGTTGACGCGGGAGGACGGGGACGCGGATAGCGTGTCGCGCCGCAGCGTGGTGGGCCAGAACCTGCGGAGCGACACGCCGAGCCAGAGCTCCGGACCGTACACAAGGGCCCCCCGCGCAGGCACAGCGAGCCCCCGCGAGACCCTCCCCAGCCTCGAGAACGTCGAGCTTCGCCCTGCGCTCTACGAGCCACGCCGCCCCCCGCCCTGCTGCGACGTCCTCTGAGTTCTTGTGGCCGTCCCTGGCGTGAGCCAAAGACTGTCATTCCCTTTCCCACGAAAAGTGCTGGCACCCAGGGGTTCTTACATCTGTTCTGACGGAGCTAGGCCAGATTGCACGTCTGACGGCTATGTTGTCGCCGTCGCCGCCCAATCGCCGCCTCGTCGCCGCCCGTCGTCTGGGTCAAAGTGTCGGTCTGGCGGCTATGTTGTCGCCGTCACCGCCCCGTCGCCGCCCGGCGTCTGGGCTGATTGCTGGACTGGCGGCTATGTTGTCGCCGTCGCCGCCCCGTCGCCAGCTAAACTGCGCAGTGCAGATTGCTCGGCACTTATTGCACCACACTGATTTCACAACATAGATTGCAACACATGTTGCACACCATATATTGATTCTCCTTTCTAAAAACAGAATAGGATCTCCCCCCCCCCCCCTCCCGGCGTTATCACTCCCCCTTTCGGGTATGTAAATCAAATATGATTCTGGCCACATGTCCATCCTAAATATGAATTGTCACTATCCCAGGGGGGCCGGTATCCCCCTCCTGAGGGTCCTTTTAAAAAAAAAAAAAATATTTATATATATATATATAAACACTATGCGGTGACATTTGTGTTCTAACATAGCACTTTGTAACGAACCACTTGCAAAACATGAGACGAAGTGCGCACGCGCGCGTCGTCGCGCGCACATGCCGAAATCCTTCAAAAACCCTAGGTGCCGGAAGGATCTCGCAATCGAGTTTCCAAAACACATACAAAAACACAGGGTTTCGCAACACTGATTTGCTAAGGTAGCTTCCGCGCGAGCTCTTGCGAAATCTTTAGAAAACCATTGGTTTTTCAAGATTTTCAAAAACAATATATTAAACGGGCTTCGCGCGCGCATGTCGAAATCTGTCGAACGCCCTTGCGCGTGTGCCGTCGCGAGAACCCTTTGTAAAAAATGAAACGAAAGGCAAACGCGCGCGTCGTCGCGCGCGTATGCCGGAAACCTTCAAAACCCATCGGTTCCGGAAGGATTTCAAAATCGTGTCCAAAAAAACCTACAAAAACACAAGGTTTCGCAACACGGATTTTCAACAAAACCGTGCGCGCGCGCTCTTGCGTCGTCGTCGTCGTCGTCGTCGTCGCCGTCCTCCCTCCTCCCGCGTCGTCGTCCTCGTCGCCTACGTCGTCCTCTGTCTTTCCTCGTGTTCGTCGTCGTCGTCCTCTTTGGCGTCGTGGTCGTTTCCCTCGTCGTTGTCGTCGTCGGCGCCGCCGTCCTTCCTCCTTCTTCGTCGTTCGCGTCGTCGCCGTCCTTCCTCCCCCCTCCCGTCGTTGTCGTCGTTGTCCCCGTCGTCGTCCTTCCTCCTCCCTCGTCGTCGTCTTCGTTGGCGACGTCGTCTTCGTCTTCGACGTCGTCGGCGTCGGCGTCGTTGTCGTCGTCGGTGTCGTCGGAGACGTCGTCGGTGTCGTCGTTGTCGCCGTCAACATCGTCGTCGTCGTCGGCGTCGTTGACGTCGTCGTCGTCGTCGCCGTCGGTGTCGTCGTTGTCGTCGTCGAAGTCGTTGGAGACGTCGTCGGTGTCGTCGTAGTCGGTGTCGGCGGCGCCGTCGTCGTCGTTGTCGCTGTCGTCGTCGGCGTCGGTGTCGTGGCCAAGTGTCATGTGGTACGCACCGTCACGGTCTTGTCTTAAGAGGTCATGCGACCAAGTTGCGGGTGGGAGGGTGGGATGTTTGCACGAGCAGTGGAGAGGACAGCTTCAAGACGGTCAAAGAGTAGTTGCGCACCATAGATTACACCGCACAGATTGCACAACCTATAGTGTACTATATGGATAGCACATGATGGTGTGCACAACGTAGACTGCATAACGCCGATTGCACCGTTTGAAATGCGAACCACACTGCTTGCATCACATAGATAGAAGAACAAATACTGCACAACATATATTACACAACATGAACTCGAAAACACGGATTGCACAACATCGATGTCACATCATAGATTGCGACACTTCGACTGCACCGCATGGATGGCACAACATATACTGTTCCACACATATTGCTCACCACATGTTGCTAGACGCAAGCTGTTAGGGCTCCACGCTGGCTAACATGCCGTTTCTTCCTGTACAAAACAAACACTCTTGGCCACTGGAGGTCTCCATATCGCGCGAATCGTAGAAGGCAGCGACACTACACGAAACTGGAGCGCTGCAGCCGCAGCCGCCGCAGTGGCCCGCGCAGAAGCCCCGGCCGCCAGGCCGGCGACCGCTGGCGGCGCCAGCCGCCGCCGCCGCCGCCCGACCGCCACTGTAGTTTTCGAGTCACACCTCGCCTCCCCAGCGGCCGAGTTGGACAATCTGTGCAACCCTGGAACGGCGCAGCTGCTGGAGAGCATCCCAAGGCTGGGGGACACCCAGGAGAGCCGACGAAACTGCTCGAGAACCTTGGAACTGGGCGCCGCAACCTCCCCAAAAATGCTCCAAAACCTGTGCCCCCTTTCCCTGCCACGGACTGGGTACGGTCGGGAATTTCTGCTTAGCGTGTCGCGACCACGGCGACGCCGCTATGCCCTGCGAGCGGATGGCGTGTCGCTCCGCTCCGCGGGGCGGGAGGCTTGGAACAGCTTCGGAGGTTGACGCTTAGGGACTGGGAGTGGATAGCGTGTCGCGCCGACGCGCGGCAGGAAAAGTCAGCCCCGAATCGGAAAGTCGGATCTGATCGAAACGTGTATCGAATCAGATCACATTGATGGCGTCAAGATGCAAAACAATGCCATGTAAGCATCGGACCGCATCGGATCAACCGACCATCTGCATCGAATCGAATCGGGCCGGCCGTTCGAAATCGAAGCGGATCGATTGGACCGAACTGGACCCTGCCTGGTGGGACAGAACTGGCGTAGCAACACCCAATCCAAGAGTTCCCGACCGCACGGGGGCGGTCAAGAGGGGGGAATCCAAGAGGGGGTGTCGCAAACCATGGCCGGCGGCATGTGTGCGGCCCAGGGGGGGACCGGGGACGCATTGAAATAAGAGGAGGCGACATGAAATCTGGGGAAATATTGTGGCCCCCACCATGATTCACTGCACCGGCCTTGCAGACGTGCTGCAGTGGATTTGCGCGTGATTTTCTGTCAATGCAAAACTCTGAAACGGCGAGCAAAAAACGAAGTGAATGTCACGTTGATTCTTTTTGTAGTCTTCATTCCTGGCCAGCGGGGCGAAACCAGCGCCGGCGAAACCAGCTCATGCTGGGGGGGACCGGGGACGCATTGAAATAAGAGGAGGCGCCGTGAAATCTGGGGAATAGTATGGCCACCGCCATGATATTCCCCCCCCCCTGTGATCACCCCCCTCTCGGCCACCCCTCATAAGGGGGGGGACGGCACAAAGGAGAGAGGGTTCCGAAGTGCCGCCGTCGTTGTTGTTGTGCGGGCGATAGAACAACCCTAACTCATGAGTAACTCTTGGCCTCGCGATTCGCAGCACTTCGGCCGCACTTCGCTAAGGAACTGCTGACTGCGCGGTAAGCGATGGACATCACGCCAAGGGAGGAGGAAAGGGAAGAGGAAAGGGGGAGGAGGAAAGGGAAAGGGAAGGAAATGGGGGAGCAGGAAAGGGAAAGGGAAGAGGAAAGGGGGAGGAGGAAAGGGAGTAGGAAAGGGAGTAGGAAAGGGGGAGGACCAGAGGGAGGGAGCAGCAAATGGGCCGCGGGCAGGCCCCTGGGCGGCGAGGGGGGGCCTTCGGGAACATCTCGCGATCGCGCATCAGGTCGATCAGCTGGGCGAGAGGGCGGGAGGGGGGAGGACCCTGCGGAAGGGGCCCAGGGGGACACAAACGAATCGGCACACATGCATTCATTGGTCTCCCCCTACACGCACACACACATATGTATGATGTATGCATGTATGTATGTATGTATGTGTGTGTATGTATGTATGTATGTATGTATGTATGTATGTATGCATGTATGTATGTATGTATGTATGTATGTATGCATGTGTGAATGTATGTGTGTACGTATGTGTGTACACAGTCATACATGCATGTATGCATGCATGTATGTATGCATGTAGGTGTGTATGCATACTGTGCGTATGTATATGTGTATGCATGTGTGTATATATGTATGTATGTATGTATGGATGAATGTATTGATGTATGGACGCATGTCTGTGTTTGAAGTATGTATGCATGCATACATGCATGCATGTATGTGTGTATGTATGTATGTACGCCTGTCTCCCTGTCTGTCTGTCTGTCTGTATGTGTACTTATGTATGAGTATACATGAATGTATGCATGCATGAATGCATGTTTGCATGCATGTATGCATGCATGTATGTGTCGATGTATGCATGTATGTATGTATGCATACATGTATGAATGCATGTCTGTATGTATGGATGTGTGGTTGCATGTATGTATGTGTGTGAACATGTAGGTGTATATGTGTATGCATGTATGTATGTATGTATGTGTGTATGTATGCATGCATGCATGCATGCATGCAGGTATGTATGTATGTGTGGATATGCGTGTGTATATTTGTATGTATGTATGCATGTATGTATGTATGTATGTATGGATGTATGTATGTATGTATGTATGTATGTGTGTATGTATGTATGTATGTATGTATGTATGTGTGTATGTGTGTATGTGTGTATGCTGGTGTGTGTGCATGTATGTGTGTCTGTGTGTACGTGTGCATGCATGTATGTATGTGGGTAGGGAGGTAGGTTGGTAGGTAGGGATGGATGGATGGATGGATGGATGGATGTATGTGTTCACGAGTATGCATGTGTGTATCTATGTATGCATGCATGCATGTATGTATTCCATGCTTCCCAGATGCTCCTCTTGCCCTCCACCTCCCACAGGTTTCCAGGAACTCGTGAACCCACTTATGTGTGTGTGTGTGTGGGTGTGTGTGTGTGTGTCCGTGGCGACGTCTCCCTCCTGACACTCAGTTGCAGGGTTACACGCCTGTGTCCTAAGCTCAGACGCCACCCGAGAAAAGACACGAACACGAACACAAACAACACACACAAGCAAACAACAAAGAAAGGGGACTACTTGGGCGCCTAAGAGAAGAAGGAGGGCCGAGAGGAGGGAGGGAGGAGGGAAACAAGGAGGGTGGGAAGAGGGGAACAAGGAGACAGGCCCCCAGAAACCACACCGCCTTGCGGCGGCTTGCCCGTGGCACTCCAGCCATGCGCGTGCTTTGAGGCACTCCGACTGTGATCCAACCTAGATGCGGCAGCGATGATACCGATCCCCCTGCCCCCTCATCCCAGCCCTCCCTCGAGGAAAGGATGGCCAATCCTCTTACCCCTCGTCTGCCTCCCCCTCCTCCTCCTCCTCCTCCTTCTCCTCCTCCTCCTCATCTCCCCGTCATTCCTGAAGTCGGGCACCGAGAGAGCGGCGGCTGAACCCCCCAGCCGGGAGAAGGAAGAATAAACGAATGGGAAAAAAACACAGGGCGTGCAGGCTGCACAGCAGCCGGCAGAGACGCCAGGCAAATCCCACACCACTCCACACAGCCTGGACCGCGCCTCCTCCTCGTCTGCCCCGTCCTTGGTGGGAACAATATCGGGGAGGGACGGGCTCAGGGGGGGAAAACACCGAGCAGAAATCAGCTACACATCGCCGATAGATCCGCGATAGGCCCCCACCACGCTGCCTCCTACTAGTCCGCCCCGTCTTTGGGGGAGGAACGTTATGTAGGAGGGGAACCAGCTCAGGGGAGCAAAACATCAAGCTGGAGTCGGCGACGCGTAATTTGAGCCGATAGGTCGGCGATGGCCCCCGATCGCGCAACCGCGCGTTCCTGGGCGGGGTGGGTTGCCAATCCATGGGCGATTAGGGCTCGCCGCATCCTCCCCCGCTAACAGTGCCCCTGACCCTCCTCTGCCGGCCATACGCCTCGCCGCGACCGCGCTGCCCCCCGCCGCGGACGGATCCGCCTCCGAAGTCCTGGGCAGCCTGGTGAGGCCGACTCCGAGCGGGTGGCGGCACTCGCCCGTTTCCGCCCCCACCTCGTCACGATCCGCCCTCCTCCCCCCTGGCAACGTCACGACCCGCGCAAGCGCCATTCCCAGACGGCCCCGGACCGAATCGTCACGCGACTGGCCCCCATCACCCCCCTAGCCCCCCTGGTTACGCCCAGTATCGCCAGGAGATGGAAGATGATCTTGTGGTAGTCACTGTCTGTTAGGAGGCAAACTTCTGGAAGGGCTTCGTTTCGGGGGAGCGATTACGGGCTAGTAGACCCAATCCAGGGGCCAGCATCAGCCCAGATTAAGCCAAATTTTAGCCTGGATTGCGCTGGATTCGGACGGACGAAGCGGGACAATGCCGCATCTGGCCAGGGTTCCACCGCGGATGTATCAGCGCCGATGCTGACATGAACCTCCCACGAGTTGCATCCTGAGGTGGTGGCGGAGGACCCCGCACGAGGGAAGCACGCCCCAAGCAGGCAAGCACGCAGCCGCGACCACGCACAACAGACGCCGACGCCGACGACAACGACGACGACGACGACGACGACGGAGTCGGACGGAGGGAAGGGGATAATAGTAGGTGCAGGGAGGAGGAGGAGGAAGAAGAGGAAAAGGGGGGGCCAATAAGATGAGGCAGAAAAGAAGATGAGGAAAGGAGGAAGAGCGGAGGCGAAAGGCTGAGTAGCAAGATGACGATAATGATTGGAAGCGATGCTTCGACATAGACCTATCCGTAATCGATCAGCTAGAAGTAACGATGCGTTTTGCAGAACGATGCAATACAACAAGTCCACCAACCCTTTAGGGCGTGAGAGGTTTAGAGCGTTTCCTCTTCCAACTCCCTTTATTCGACGTCGGGACGGGGTTTACCCCTCTACAAATACACAATATGAATACTACTCTCCTCTCTCCCCTGATGACACCCGGAAGATGCCTGGCCCCCCTCCGCGTATTGTTTTTACACACAGGATTCCCGGGAGTTGGGTTCTCGCGGGTGCTTTCTATTTAAAAGGATGAACAACATGTTTCTCCCTCTGAAAGGCTGGCCTCACTTTCGGGACTCCGCGCGATCCGAATCGTGTTCCCGCTGCAACGCTGGCCTCATGTCCGCGCTCCCGCTCGTTCTGAATCGTGCTCCCGCTGCAGCGCTGGTCTCACTTCCGCGCTTCCGCTCGTTCCGAATCGTGCTCCCGCTGCAGCGCTGGCGTCATTATCCCCAATGCCCTACCACGGCATGCAATGCAATGCTACGTGGAGTTCCGCTGAGAGATGCCATGCCTTCAGCTGCAATGCTAGGATATGCAGCGCTTAACTACACAGTGCCACGCCCTGCTATGCCATGCTACGCTTTGATCTCCAACGTCATGCTATGGCATGTTCTGTTCTGTGCCGCTGTGCGATGCCACTCTTTGCGTTGCAATGCTTTGTGATGCAATGTTTCACTACGCAACGCCATGCCATGCTATGACATACTACGCTCTGCCGTGCTCTTCTACGCCCTGCATGCCGTGCTCTACGATGCATCGCGCACCCTCTCGGGACCATTGCCCTGCTCGATATCCGACTGTGCGAATGGAGAGGAGGTCTACGCCATGATAAGGGATGGGAGGGATGAGTAGGGCGTCAGATCTGACGCGAGCGCACCTGGCCTGCCCTGCCCCCCCCCCCTCTGACCCTGCACGGGGCGCCCTGCGACCGACGACTGGAGCGTACAAAAAAGGCCTCGGCGACTGGACCATTGAGTGTACCAACATGGTAGGCAGAATGTGGCCTCCTGCTGGGGGGCGTAGTTGCCCCCCCCCTCCGTGATCGAACTCCTCCAAGATGGCCCCAAATGGCCCCGAAGGTTCCCCAGAGCGCCCAAAGAGGGCCCCAAGAGGCGCCCAGGTCCCAAGAGGCCCCCAAGAGGCTCCCAAGAAACGCCCACGAGGCCCCAAGAGGAACTCATGACGCTCCAAGAGGCCCCCTGGACCGCCAAAAAAAGTCCCCAAGACGCCGCAAGAGGACTCCAATGAGCTCTCAAGAGACATCCGAAGAGACCCCGAGAAGCATCCGAGAGGCCCCGTGGCCTTTGCGCGCGTCCCCCTAGAATTCTGTTAACTTCTGTGGACGTACACCAACGCAAAGCCAGCGGACGCCGCTCGATCCCTTGTCCGCCGCGTGGGACCACGGCCCGCGCCGCGACGGTCTCAGCAGTCCACGATGGCCTCACTGAAGCCGCGGAATCTGGAGCATGCTCAAGGCAGCCAATGAACACGACTCGTCTGCTCCAAAAAGACACTACTCAGAAACTGCCAAGACTGCCCAACAACTTCCCACAACACCGCGGAGCATGAGGTAAGCGCATTTCAAGACGGCCAATAAAACCTATCAGGATCACTGGCCCCCTTGGCACAAAACGGTGCTCAGAAGTAACTGTACCATCTGCGCCTCCAAAGAACAGCAGACAGGATGCCAACAACTCCCAACACATAAGTACTCAAAGCACGTGCCGAAGCCATACATGCCGCATCGATTGACTACCATACATAAGCCAGAAGACAATATCAGGAAACTAGCTCCTCCTCTTCCTCCTCCTCCTCATCACCATCATCATCCTCATCCTCATCCGCCTCATCCGCATACCTCTCCACGTCCCTCCTGCGTCCTTCCCCTCCTCATCCGATTCCTCCTGCTCCTCCTCATCCGATTCCGCCGCCGATCCCTCCCCGTCTTAGGGTATGGTGGCTTCCTCAACTGCATAATCCTCTACATCCCAGATGAGAGCAACTCGCCTGGGCATCGTGTTTGGATGGGCTGGTGGGTTACTCGTCCAGAGCTAACCATGGGTTTGCAGTACCATGGGCACTGCTCATGATCCTCTCGTCCCCGTTGCGCCACCCCCACATCCTGTTTCGCCCTCACCATCTTCTCAATGCTCTGCTGATCACCGTCCTGCTGCTTCAGAACATGCTGTCAGTCTCCGAGCCCCTTTGTTGACGTACACCTTTCGGATCGCCCCGATGCTCCATGCGTTGGTTCTGATGGGCATGTTTTCCGCCGCCACCACCACCAGAAGTTTGAGGGGGGAAGGAGGTGGAGGATGAGGAGGAGGAGGACGAGGACGACCCCCTCCCCCTCCTACCTATGGTGGTGCTGGTGGAAGACAGGCATTCCAGGATCTCTGGGTTACCACCCCGCCGCTCGAGCCCCGCGCAGTGGCGTGCTGCCCGATGGCCACAATGAGCCCGCGACGCCGACCCCGGCAAGAGCACGGCACGGCAGGCGCCACGCCAGCCAGCCCCCCAAAGGTCGCGAGAGGCGACCGTCAAGAGAGGCGACCGCCTCTGGCTCGACTTCTCCTCCTCCTCCTCCTCCTCCTCCTCCTCCTCCTCCTCCTCCTCCTCCTCCTCCTCCTCCTCCTCCTCCTCCCTCCTCCTCCTCCTCTCCTCCTCCTCCCCCTCCTCCCTCCCTCCTCTCCCTCCTCCCTCCCCTCCCTCCTCCCCCCCTCCCCCTCCCTCCCTCCCTCCCTCCCTCTCCTCCTCCTCCTCCTTCCTCCTCCTCCTCCTCCTCCTCCCTCCCTCCCTCCTCCCTCCCTCCCTCCCTCCCTCCCCCCTCCCTCCCCCTCCCTCCCTCCTCCCTCCCTCCCTTCCCGCCATGCATCCCTCCATCCCTCCCTCCCTCCCTCCCTCCTCCTTCTCTCCTCCTCCTCCTCCTCCTCCTCCTCCTCCTGCTCCTCCTCCTCCTCCTCCTCCTCCTTCTCCTCCTCCTCCTCCTCCTCCGTCGCGAGAGGCGACCGCCTCAGGCTCGGCCCGGCCGCCGCTCGCGATGCCCGTCCCCCCCCGCCGCTCATGCTACGGTCAAGAGCTGTATATCCAGATCCGGTGCATCTTTGATTTTTTCCTGGAAGGGGCGCCACAAGGCCGAGGCGCCCCGGATGTGGATAAGCATATCGAAGCTCTGGGGGGCAGATTGGTCCACATCCGGTGCACCTCGGGTTTCTGGTGAAGGGGGCCCGAATTGCCAATCTGGAACAAGGAGAACCCGGAGATCCAACGTATTAGAAACAATGGAACAGTCCAAAGAACGACTATAGGGATGAAAAGACGGTCCCGGGGAATGGATTGAGCCTTCCAGGGACCCGCGTCTGGAAAATCAGGACGTCGGGGGTCTCGGTCAGGGAAAAAACACGACCACCACTAGCGCGAGACGCAAGGGTGGGTCCTCCTGGACCCTGAAATCCTGGCATTACACTTTTTGGTAACGGGCGTTGTCCCCTGGTTTTTGGCCCAGGGACCCTCAGAGTGGGATCAGGCTCGAAACATGGAGCAGGAAGATTGGGTCTAGGGCTCCAGACTTGACTTTTCGCGATGTTGCAATGTTTGGACGACCCAAGGGTGTCTGGGGGTATGGGTCGGGAGGGGGATGACGGAGGCGAGATGGGGACAGGACGCAAAACAAACGAGCTGACGCTTGCACACACACACACACACACACACTGACACACACACACACTTTTACGTCGGCGGCTGGGCAGAGTGACTTCGCTGGCGGAAGAGCATGTGTATGGTATACAGACACACACAAAAAACAAACTCCCTATCACGCGAGCGCAAGGATCTGGCGACAAGCGGTTCCTCAAGAATTCACCCACACCAAGGAAGGCTGCACACGCCCGCACACACGCACACACACAAGGACTTGTCGAAACACATCCCGCTACTGTCAAGACCTTTTGATTGGTGTGTCGCGGTGGCGGCCATGCGACACGCTATGCCCTTCGAACTGACAACGTACTGCTCCGCTCCGCAGGCGGGAGGCTCGAAAAGGCTCGACAGGCTGACCCTCGCCAACTGGGACAATGTTCGCGTGTCGCGCCGAAGCGTGGGTGGGCCAAACCGGCGGCACGACACGCTAGACAAAGGCTCCTGACTCAGCTCCTGACCGTACATCTCCAGACATCCGACGTCTTGACTTACAGCGTGGCTCACAAACGATCTGCACCACTTCCCAGGGGCCGGCTTGTCATCCTGAACCCTTTTCTTCGACGGCCCTGGGCCCCGAGAGGTAGAAACCTGTCAAAACCGTCTGCGGTTCTGTATTCACCACGCGAGGATATCAGGGGAGTCACGCTGCTGGAAAAAACGGCAACGGATGCATGCCCAGACATGCGACGTCCAGACTTTCTCAGTACGGCGTCCCCGGAAGTCCCGAGCCTTTCCCTGGGGCCGTTTTTTTTTTTATCCTGAGTCGCTTTCTCACGCTCCCGAGGCCAGGCGAGGGCCCCCCGAGGCCGAAATTGGCCAAAAACCTCCCGTCCTGTTTTTTAAACGACACGATCATGTCAGGGGAGTCGCACTGCGGGAAAGACTCTGCGTCGGATGCATGGGTACAGGCACCGCGCTGCCAGAAGGAACGCAAAGGGGCAGGAACTCAGGGGCGGCTCCGGCCATGGCGAGACTCGGCCACGAGTAGTCACCCCAGCCTTGCGTCGGGCATGTTCTCCTACAGGCGGAGCCTGGCCGAAAAATTAACACGAGTCCCAACAAATCAAACATAGTCCAAAATTCGTCCCCAGACTGTTGCTAGACTATTGTAGAATATTCCTCCTGCAAAGGGAAATGCCCGACTGAACCCTAGCCGAGCTCCAACTTGGAGATGGGCTGAACCAGAGCTCCCCCCAAGCCCAAATTGGCCCTCGCCCAAGCGTCTTGACTGTACCCTTCGGTAGAGTATGTCCTCCTGCAGGCGGATCTTGGAAGAAAGAAACATAACCAAAAAATGCCCAAAAATAGTCGGCATATCGTGCCCAGACTATTTTTCGACTGTTCGTGAAAATTCCTCTTGTAGAGGGTTATGCAGAATTCTGCCCCGTCCCCTGGACCCGGGGCGGTAGGCGACCCGAGGAGGGGAGGGCGAGGAGGGGGAGGAGGAGGAGGAGGAGGAGGAGGAGGAGGAGGAGGAGGAGAAGAAGGAGGAGGAGGAGGAGCAGCAGCAGCAGGAGGAGGGAGGAGGGAGGAGGGAGGAGGGAGGAGGAGGAGGGAGAGGAGAAGGGAGGAGGGAGGAGGAGGAGGAGGAGCAGGAGGAGGAGGAGGAGGAGGGAGGAGGGAGGAGGGAGGAGGGAGGACGGAGAAGGGAGGAGAAGGAGGAGGGAGGAGGAGGAGAGGAGATGAGGAGGAGGAGGAGGAGGAGGAGGAGGAGGAGGAGGAGGCGGAGGCGGAGGAGCGAGGAGGGAGGAGGGAGGAGGGAGGAGGGAGGAGGGAGGAGGAGGAGGAGGAGGTGGTGGAGGAGGAGGAGGAGGAGGAGGAGGAGGAGGAGGAGGAGGAGGACGGGTCGCCTGAGCCCTTGGGAGAAACCCTCCACCGCCCTCGCCTGCAGGAAGGCCATCGGCTCCAGCCGCCACGCCTCGCCGTCCCTGGCGGTGTGCAGCTCCTCCAGGACCTGACGGGGGGGCGGGTTCAGCACAAGACCGGCCCGGCACCGAGCCGGGAGAGGTGGGACCCCAGACATGATCGCGTCAACAAAAATAACAGGACGGGAGGTCTTTGGCCATTTTCGGCCTCGGGGGGCCCTCGCCGGGCCTCAGGACCGTCAAAAAACGACTCAGGATGAAAAACTGGTCCAGGGGAGAGGCTCAGGACTTCCAAGGGCCCCGTATTGAAAAAATCAAGATGTCGCATGAGACCGAATCCGAGTATGCGCCGGGCCGGGCTGCACCAACACAGAGTCGAGGTCGAACGGAAACGGCCGCACCACGATGCACACCAAAACCATCAACACCACCAACAACAACAACCACCACCACCACCACGACGACGACGACAACAACACCAACCACGACGACGACGACGACGACAACAACAACAACGACAACAACAACAATGATAATAACAACACCAAGTACAATAACCACAACAGCAACCACAGCAACAACAACAATTAGTTTGACACTGTTCGCTCATATCTGCTCACGTGCCAGACACTACGTAGATCCCAAACCCTCGGTACCCGCCCTCGTCGTCTTCGATCGTACCCCCTTAGGGGTATATCTTCCTTACCTGCCACGTGCATTTAGTGCAGCCTCTAAAACAAAGGAAGAGAGGACGGGTGGAAGGGGGAGGGAGAAGAATGGAGCATCAGAGAAACTAAGAGGAGTGGGGCAAGGAGCAGAAAAAAAGTGGTAGAACCAGACAGGTAGATCGGGTGGGCAGACCCATGGCGGGCAGGTCGGAAGGCGGGCCCAGGCGACGAGGTCGAGCAGGCGGGTTGCTGAAGCGTGGGTCCTGCATAAATCGCGAGAAGGTCTCAAACGATAGCACGATTCCTACGTAAATCACAAGAAAAGCCAAAGCGAGAGCGTGATTCCTGAGCGCCGAGGGCGCATCATCTGAATAAATTGCGAGGACGTTCCACGCGAGAGCGCGATGCGTACATGAACTGTGAGGAAGTCCGGCTCGAGGGCGCGATTTGGGAATACATTCTGCGGAAGCATCAGGTGGGAGCAGTTGGTGTTGTAACTCGGAGGCCAGGGGCCCAGTTTGAGCCTAGCAATTATCCCCGATAAAAAACGAGGTGCGAGCCCCAGGGGAAGAACTTTGATTGAAAAAACAATGGTCAACCGAGGGGGGGATCAACAATGATGACTCTTCAGTAATGGAAGTTCAACAACAAAAACAACAATAACAACAACAACAACGACGACGACGACGACAACGACAACGACAAAGACAGCGACAACAACGCCAACAACAACAACGACAACGACAACGACAACGAAAATAACAACGACAACAATGACAACAACGACAATAACGACAACGACAACAACAACGACAACGACATCGGGCCGCATCGGATCGTCGGAGCTCGGAGCAGGGCGAGTTGCGGCAATGGCGGCTCTGAGTGGGTCCCCGGATACCTCCCAGGGTCCGCACGCACCAGCCCTGCGAGCTGCGCCCAGCCGTGGCGACGAGGGCCCCCCCCCCCGAAGGCCAACTGCCGTTGTCTCAGCTCGGCCTCCTCTGAGGGACATCGGAGTCGAGTCGGATCGTGCGGGCTGGAATCGATGCGAGGGAGCGGCGGGGAGGAGCCCGCGCGTCCGTCGGCGGGGGCAGGTCCGCGGAGGCCGGCGGAGAGCGGGCAGAGCGAGGGCAGCCCTGCCGGCGGAGGGCCGGCTGACGGGGCGCGTGGGGACATGCTAGCACGGTGTGTCCTCCTCGGAGGCGCGCGTCCGACCCGAACCTATAGTAGACATGTATATACATATATATATATATATACATATATATATGTATACACATATACACACTCACACACATATATATATATATATGTATATACATACATACATACATACATATGTGTGTATGTACTGTCTCCCGCACGGTGTGGCCAGAAAGCGCCCGCCACGACGCATACACCATACACTTCCTCGGTGCGCGCGTCGCCCCTGGGGGGGCGACGCACACATAATGCTAGCATGTTGTGGCGACGGCGAGGCAAAGCGAGGGCAACTCTGCCGGCGGAGGGCCGACGGAATCTGACGGAGGTTGATATCCCTCGCGTGTTCTGAGAAAAACGCGGCGGGGCGTTTTGTTGTTGCCGTTTTCGGCCCCTGGGGGGGCCTTCGCAGGGCCCTGGGACCGTCAGAGAATGGCTCAGGATGAGAAGACGGTCCCAGTGAATGAGCCGAAGATTCCGCGAGTCCACTTTACAATCGAAATCATGACGTCGGGGGTCTCTGTCGCGACGTGCTGCCAATTCTCACCCGAAGGCACCCTGCACCGAAGCCACAAGAAAGCTGGATGGTTTCCGCGGCACTCGGGCCCATTCCAGACGCAGACCGTGGAGGTCCTGCCTGAAGTCGTCTTTTCTTCCGAGGGTTGGCGGAGGTGCACAAGCCACATGCATGAGGACTGATCTTGCTAGGGAGGCCAACGCAGGCATTCGGCAGCATCCCGTGGCGATGACGTCGTTGCTGGTGTCTGACATCGCCTGGGTCGTTCAACCTTGAATGGCCGCTGTATTTCCGAGAGCACGAAGACTGGTGCGCAGGGCAGAACCGGTTACAGTGGAGGTCTCTTGCTACGGCGGTACGCGACGACATGGGCAAGTGGAGCCCTACGGCTATCATGTGGGATCACATGTATACGCACATGAGTGCAAAGCGGTTGCAGCACCGACCGTGCAAAGGGTGGACCGCGGATGTGGAAGCATCTAGCCGAGATACTAGCGCAGAGGAGTGGGGATGAATTGTGATGGACATTGAGTTTCAGCCAGGTTTGGAGTCGGAGGACTCGTACGTGCCCAACACTTTTTGATCTGCGGGGCGAGAGCGAACCTCTTCCGCTAAAAGCTAGGCGGGCTACGCACAGCTTTAATTAGGGAGACAGGGCACAGGAAGGCGGGGCCTCAGGCGGCCGGAGCGGGCGGGGCCAGGGGAACAGGCGGTGCTGAAATGGATGTGCAGGAAGAGGTACGCCTTGGACAGGGACCGAGGGCGAAGACCCACGCACGTGCCCCACACAGAAGGACGCACAACGACACAACCATAGGTTATTGATTGAATCTGGTTGTGGCGCCCCAGCGCCACCGCGTAGGGCCGTCTCCCTGGGACGCTATAGGAGCAGCCTGAGCCCCAGCCTCAGTATCTATGTTCCGAAAGCGCGGGTGGTTCGAGATCGGTCGGTTCCAAGTCACAGGCGGGGCGCAACCTGGAACGCCTGCACCAGGGCCTCCGCTCTTTCCACCCTGAGTAGTGTGTCCCCGAAAAAACTGCAACCAAACAATCGTCGTGACACGTTCGCGCGGGCAATGCGTGTCAAAGCATCTTCGGCGAGGAGGGAAGATACGCATTCCTAGTGTGCCAATGTATAGGGGATGTGAGCGGTTGGAGGGAGGAGGGAGGGGGAGGATGAGGCAGAACATCATGAGGAGGAGGATAATGAGGAGGAGGAGGAGGAGGAGGAGGGGGGGGGGGGGAGGAGGAGGAGGAGGAGGATGGGGAGAGGAGGAGGAGGGAGGAGGAGGGGAGGAGGAGGAGGAGGAGGAGGAGGAGGAGGAGGGGGAGGGGGAGGACAGGGATGGGGGGGGGGGGGGGGAGGGGGGGAGGAGGAGGAGGAGGAGGAGGAGGAGGAGGAGGAGGAGGAGGAGGAGGAGGAGGAGTGGAGGAGGAGGAGCAGGAGGAGGAGGAGGAGGAGGAGGAGGAGGAGGAAGAGGAGAAGGAGGAGGACGAGAAGGAAGAGGAAGAGGAGGAGCACGAGCATGAGCAGGAGGAGCAGGAGGAGCAGGAGGGGAGGGGGGGGCATGTGGGAGGAGGGGTGAGGGGGTGAACAGTATGAGAGGGACGGGGGGGGATATGGTAGATGTCGGGGGGGGGGGGGGTGAAAGGATGGGCGGAAGAGAGAGGCGGGACGGCCGTGGAGATTCCTTGACATCCTCGCGCCCTCCGCGTGCTCATTTCACAAACAGGATCCCAATCGTTGATTATTCGGATTGATGTTTGTGCTAGTATCCGACTGTGTTCGGTGTTTCAGCATGGTGCCCCCGCTGAAGAGTGGGCTCGTTTTCGGATCGACGCTTTGCCCCCGTCGTTCCGAATGGCGCTCCCGCCCGGCTCCCCAGACTGTGTCAGACGAGCCGTATTTGGGGGATTGGCATCTTTCGTCCTCCTCCTCCGTGCCTTCCGCATCTCTAAAATGAGGAGAAACTTGTCCTAGTGAAAGCGGGTCCCTGGACCCCGAGGCCTTCCACCATCCTGAACCGTCTCCTGACGGCCCGAAGGCAATGAAAGGCCCCAAGAGCCTCACTGACGGCGAAGGGAACTCCAGGACACCCCTTCCTTCAAGCTAGAGGAGACCTCTCCTCCACGCTGGCTTCCCCCAAAAGTGCACGCCCGGAGTGGGTACGGAAAACATGAGCAGGATACCCACCAACAATTGTTGTCCCAAACCGACCGCGGCCGCTGTTGAGAAGTCGGCCGACTGTCTCAGTGGACGACGTCCGCGGGGACGCGGGCAGCGAATCTGGTTCAAAATGAACAGGTGTTGCTGCCGACCTTCCTACCCATGCTTTCCGTGCACCTTTCGATCGTATCGACCGCCCCTCTCTTCATCGGCGACCCAGGGGGGGAGGGCAGGGCCGGGCCTCCTGTATGGCGTACTTCATGGTGGCCAGGCCTCGAGCCTGTGGGCACGATCGGCCAGCATCGAATCGAAACGCCAACCCGCATCGGAATGTGCGTCGGTTCGGGCTGCATCAGCACGGAATCGGAATCGAATCGGGTCGGCCGTGTCAGAACGCATGCAAAAGAACGTCATGCGAGCATGTGGTCACATCGGATCGCCAGGTCATCGAAATCGAATCGGATCGATCGGATCGAAATGGACCATGCGGGGGAGATGGGACGGGCAAGGGGGAGAGTAGGGGCGGAGGGGGACGAGTGGTGACAAGAGGGGAAGAAGATGACGAACGATAGACACTGGAGAAGGAGACAAATGAGGGGAGGAAAGGGAGCAGCGCTGGATGACGCGGAACATGGGCCGAGTGTGCAAGGGGGAGGTGGGGAGCAGGAGGGAAGAGGAGGAATGGACAAGATGATGGAGAGGGGGGTCGAGGCAGCAGGACAAGAGAGGCTGTGGAGGGGGAGGACGAAAACGGGCAGGGCGAGGCAGAACGTCGGAAGCGGAGAGAAGAATAGGGCGGGGGACGACGGGGAAGAAGGCGGAAAATAGAGCAGGTGATGGGAGCAGGTGGAAAGACGAGGCTGGCTTGAGGCTGGCAAGCGGATGGGAAGAACGACGAGGAGGACGAGGAGGAGGAAGAAGAGGAGGAGGAGAAATCGTTGTTTCCCCCAGCGGGCAGACATTCCTTTTTCCAGGGTCAGTATCCAACTGGCGCGGGCACGCGCCAGCCACGCAGAAGGAAAGAGGAGGAGGAGGAGGCAGCAGGAAGCAGCAGCAAAAGAGTAGCGGCCGCTCATGCACAGGCGGCACAGTCCCTGCAGGCGAGGTACTTCGCGCGCGGGGGCATGGCCACCGCCCCGCCCGCCAGCGGAAGTGGCAGGACGCCACGACCGTAGGCGGGGAAGCGCACGCGACACGAGGGGGGGACAACATCCATGCCCCACAAAGAGTGGCGCTTGCGCTCGCCACCCCCACCTGCGTCTGGGGTGGGGGACCCACGGACAGAAGGGGCCCAGCTGCAACACTGATCCCGTCCCCTGAGAGAGGCACGCAGGGCACCGCATCGACAGGCACGGGGCGGGTGCGGCGGCGGGGCAGCGGAGGGAGGCCGCTCGCTCCCTGACCACCCCACCCCAAGCCAAGCCATGAGGGCCCAACCCGACACCACACCACGGCGAGCAGCGGCAGCGGCACGGCGGAGCAGCAGCAGAGAGACACGTAGGAAAGGGCGCATAGCAGCAGCAACAGCGACGCCAACAGCAGCAGCAGCAAGGGGGCAGCACAACGGACACAATAGCGAGGACAAAAGCAAGGCCCACAACAGAGCATGACCCAGCAGGCGAGGGAGGCAGCAGCAGGGGCAGGGAAGGAAAAGGACTCAAAACAGGGTCCAGAATCGATTAAACCAGAATGCATAATGTCGCCGCACCGCGTCACAAGGTAAAGGACAGAACGCGAACCACTTGGCCCACAGAGCCAGTGAGCAAAGACACTGACGCAAGGGCCCGCAGGCGACGCAAGGAGCAAGACCCAGGACGCCGCGGAAGGGCCAACACGACAAGCATGAAACAGAACGCCGCCGAGGGCCAGGGGGCGCGACGCTACCCCGTGCAGCACCTGGGGACGGCGGGCAGATGGTGCGGCCAACACAACCATCACTCTCCAGGAGCACGCAGTGGCCACTGCCTATCAGGCGTGCGCTCCCAAGGCGGAAGAAGCCCTACAACTCCAGAAACCCAACCGGCTTCGGGATATGTGCAAAGCGGGACCATGGCCGACCAAAAGAACGAGGCAACACAAAGACCTAGGGAATCACGAGGTCAGGATCGCTCGCGGAAAACAATGGCAACTTGCTTATGCCGCCTGGCAAGAATCCTCAGCCGAGCAAGAAATACTTGTTGGGGGAAGAGGACAGTGCCTACGCAGTGGTGGGCATGGGTCTTCAGAGTTGCATCAGAAAACAACACCTGCAGCGATGCCACGGTCTGGCCCCCACGCTGGTCCCAGAAGATTGAATGTCGAAAGCCATGCCTCGTGGCCGAACAGTAATACCCTCCGTCGTCCTGGCAGGTTCTGGATGCCTGGGTCCCAAGTGAGTGCTAAAAACACGTGAGCACAGGACAGCGTTTGTAGTGGGGAAAGTCGTCAGGCCCCCGACAACGGAAACGACACCCTCGGCCGACGCTGCGGAACCTGGCTGAAGTGCAAGCCCCCTTAGATAGGATCCTGAGGATGCCAGTGGGAACGTGGGTATACGCAGCCTTTTCGAGAGCCCTGAGCTGCGACCGAAGGCTGAACACGACAGTTATCTCAACTTCCATGGGCCAACGTCCGATACGAACCTGCAGGAAGAAAAACGGGGCCATCGGCGTTCGAACCGCCAGATGATATGTGTGCACCCTGCACAAGATCATGCCACTCATCCGCTTAATGTTGGGCGAGAGGATGGCGGCAGCACCCTCACGAGTGCATCTAATCATCGAGTTTCTCAACAATACAGACAGTTGCCGACCAAGGCAGACTCATCATCATACGCACCATCAAACACGACTCTATAAAAATACGAAAACAGGCCACTCGTCTTGCACATGACCGAGACACGATATTTCGTCGCCTCCGACAGCAGCGTCAACTCCACGAATTTACCAGATACCCCAAGGCCACGCACCTCGGTAACCATACAATGATTTAGCGCGTGTCTCGGCCCCGCCGCTAATATCTGCACAGGGTCCCAATATTGCCTAGTCGCCGCTGGAGTGATGCGAACGAATTGGGGCCGATATTGTAAAACCGAAGCGCTGCTCGAGGGAAAAAGCCGAATCATAGTAGGCAACCCCACGGCACCCCCACGGACAAAAAAAACAACACAACAAAAACCAAACATGCCGCACCCTCTGCCAGAACATAACCATGACTTCTCGCCACGCAACTGCGTGAGCCGTTGGTCTGACCCAGTACCCGGGGTATCACACGTGATCCTCGAATCTGATCGCAAAAAATCGACGTCCCTTCCGCCCCGTGTACTCAGGGAGGCGCACGCAAGACAGCGCCAAACAGACGAGCACACAGCACTTGCCGATATTAAACGCGAGACCGATGGCATAGGAGAGCGGGTCCAACAAAAAGAAGCGCAGGCAGCAGATCCACAAGGATATTCCGCGGCCCAAAGCAGCAGTCATCAGCATACGCGAGCTCCAGGTCAAACCTACCAGTGCGTAGATACATGATCCATTTCAGAAGCGGCAGCGCCAGGGAGAAGAGGCTCATCGACGAAGGATCTCCCGGCCTTACCCCACGCATCACTGGGAATCAAATCTCAGCAGCCCCCGCGACATTAACCACTGCAATGTTACCAACACGTAGAAAATATCGAACCCAATGATGGTCTGCGGGATGCCCATAACCCTAAGAACCTGGAAAATTCACGCCGCCGAAAGAATCGACGGGAACGCCGCCCAAACATCAGCGAATAAGACGCCCAAATTACCCAGTTTTCGCATAAACGGACAGAATCCTCATTCCTCAACCCCAGCCACATTATCCAGGATGCCACGACCGTTAACACCCCCTCGCTGCTGCTCCATGTCTGTATGAAGTGCTACTTCAGCCGGCCCGATACAGAACGTCCGAGAGGATCTTAGCGTCCGTGCTGGAGAAAGAAAGGGGTCGGGTAGATCCAGGCAGCCTTGAGACAAACGCACCTTGGTCTGCGGGCTCCTCCCCCGCCGGTAACAAAAAAATCTGCTGATTATACAGTCCTCAGGAGGAGCGGCACCTTCACTCTCGCAAACAGCCTCGTGAACGCCGAAGAGAACATCAGAAGCATCAGGAACCGCCTAACAGCCATACGGTTACTCACACTGAACGAATACGTGTTTTTTCAAATTCGTCCCGAGCAGGGCGGCAGAGGGCTTCATGAGGCAGTTTGCCAACCGACTGCACATGGGTCAAGATCGCGGACCAGTGCTGCACACCATGCGGGGCATGAGAAAAAACACGTTCCCAGTGGGAGGCCAACGCACGGGCCGCCTCGTCGGGGTTCGGGAAAGGTAGGCCATGCTCGTCCAGTACCGCCCTCAGTCCAATCCGACGTCCCAGAAAGGCCAACCCCCTCTTTGGAACCAACAGCCGTTTATCCACCGTGCTCTGATCCTCCTCAGACTCCCTGATATGCTCTACCTCCTCCATCCCCTCCTCAAGCCATCTCTTTTTCAAAGCAGCGGTGAGCGATTGCAGGCCGTCGGGGTCCGAGCAGATACTGTGGTCAACATCAAAGAATTGAAGGAGAGCATCATAGCATCGGAGTGCAACAACGACAAGATGCAACTGCTGCCCCCTCAACCCACGGTAGGCCGTGAATGCAACATGGAGAAGCTCAGCATCCTTCGATGCTTGTCGACTCTTTGGAGACTGCGGAAATTCAGCTGCCACCGACCCGAAAAGGGCCTTCACCCTCCGAATACGCTGCGAGAGCGTCCCTGCCTGTGCCTACTGGCCCGCCCCATCCTGTTGCGGCCCACTCCTCACACACTCCTCATGAGGAGGAGGAGGAGGCGGAGGAGGAGGAGGAGTTAAGAAGGAAGGGAGTACAAGGAACGCATGAGGAGAGGGGGGGAGGAGGAGGCGGGGCACACGAGGAGATGGACTTGAAGGAGAAGGACGGACGGGGGAGGATGCCTTATGGGGGGCAGGGAGCGCGGATGAGGAGAAAGGAGGAGGGACGCGAACGTTGAACGTAAGAGGAGGAGGATCAGGAGGAGGTGGAGGATGACCCTGAGGATGACCCTGGGATGTGCCTGCGTACACGACAACACTACAACTAGCACCGCTTGGCTCCCTTGGCCCGTGCCACGGCCAAGACTGGAGCATGCTGTTTGGCCCCAGCGGCGCATGGGTGCGAGAGGAGTGCTCGAGGAATGATCATGGAAGGACCTAGGGAACAGCGGATCCTTTCCAGACCCGAGCTGTTCCTTGTCTGAACACAGGGGGGGCACGGGCATTTCTCGGGCCCAGAAGATGCTTCCCACACACTCTTCAGACGAGGGAGGCGTGGCGCGTTCCTTCGGTAGCCTATCCGCCAGCGCGCCCTGACTCCAGGGGTAAGCAAGGGGATGGAGGAGTGAGGAACCGGAACGGGGAGGGGCCAGAGGAGCGGGGGACGAGGGGGCTGGAGGGGAGCGGAGGGAGGAGCAGGCCAGGGAGGTGGGCGGCGACGAGGGGTGTCGAAATCCATCCCCAAAGAACAACTGTGCGAGGGCTGGAGCCCCGGGAGGCAGGCCAAGCTCCTTGCGACCCGAAGAGGCGGAGGGGGGAGGAAAGGGAGAAGCGGAGGACGAGATGCGATAAAGATGCTGCCAAGTCCAAGAATATGCGAAGCACATTTGGGAGCCTTCTTCGGCCCGCTAAGACTAGAGAGCACGGAAAGACACAGTGATAGTCAATAGCGCTCACGTTCGCGCCTAGAGGCTGTCAGCTGCCGCGTCAAGGAGATACTCCGGGACGCGAGGGTAGAGGCGAGGGAGCAGGCAGGAAGGAGAGGAGAAAAGACCAGGGCAAGGATGAAGCGGACGAGGAGAGAGGAGGGACGACGAGGGAGGGGGAGCCGGGGAAGACGACTCAGGGAGGAGTAGGATGTCCGAGGCCCTTCGGTGCTCGGGGGTCCTCGGGGGGTTGGGGGGGGCGGGGACGGAGGGGGGAAGGATTAGGTCAGCAGAGGGGTCTACACTTGGAGGATAGGATAGGATAGGATAGGATAGGATAGGATAGGATAGGAACCAGTGGCAAAGCCAGTAACGATCAACCACACTACTCTCGGCCTCGCTGGGCCTTCTCGGCCTTGCTGAGGCCCGTGGGAGCAGCATGTGACCGAATTCTGTCATTGTGTGCTTTGCCTGTCGGGGTCAAGCGGTGGGTGCATGCTTTGCCCAACGAGCAGGTCGATGTCCGCGGGCCTCTCCAGCGTCCGAAGCTAGCCAGGATCGCGAGGCGGGCCCGGCCCGCGGCGGCAGGAAGCCCCTGGGCGGCGCGCGGCTGGCAAAATGGCGCCCGCAGGCGTCGAGTATCGGCTCGTTTTTCCTCCTCCGCCTCCTCCTCCTCCTCCTCCTCCTCCTCCTCCTTTGAATCGGAAGATCGGCCACAGAATTCATTTACCCCAGAATTACTCTTCCGTGGAGTCTATGAAGCAGTATCTAAGACGAAGTATTCTACATCTTCTTCGTAGATTCGGCGACGATTTAATTCTGGGGTAAACCAACTGTGCCGTCGATCTCCTGCCTTCGTGTCGGTCCCAGGGCCCTTCCTGTCGGTCCCTGGGCCCAGCGAGGGTTCGCGACGCCGAGATTTCCGTGAACGTCGGCCTCGGCAGCTCGCCGTGGCGATCTGGCGGGGGAGGGGCGGCAGCAGCCCCGGCGAGGGCGCTCCTGCCTTGAGCAGATTGGACACCTCCTCCAGGTGCATGTGCTGCCCGCCCCCCTCGTGGAATTCGGCGAAGAGCTTGGCGAAGTCCTCGAGGCCAGGCCAGGGTGCCCCGCCCCCCCCTCTTCCTCCTCCTCCTCCTCTCCCTCCTCCTTCTCCTCCTCCTCCTCCTCTCCCTCCTCCTCCTCCTCCTCCTCCTCCTCTTTTTCCTCTTTCTCTTCATCATCCTCCTCTTTTTCCTCTTTCTCCTCCGCTTCCCCCTCGATCCTCGAGTCTCGATGACCGGAGGCCAGATCAGTGCTATGATGCTGGGTCTCAGTGAGCTGGTAAGCGGACGAAGAAAAGGGTGGAGGATGCTGGAGGAACTTATTGACTGGCACCGTTGGCGGCGCAGGCTACGTCTGCCTACCAGTCATCCGATCGGCACAGAAGCATGCCCTCATCGGAAGCTGCCCCAGTAGGCGTGGTAAACAAATCGAGACAGAAACGATGGGACACTGGCTGGGGCGTGCACAGCCATCGCCGACCGTGTACACGCGCGCAGAACGGCTCAAGGATGCGATAGTGAAGACCAGCATGTGCAGATAGCAGATGGCAGGATAGTTCGACAGAGGAAAGGACATCGGGGGAAGGCAGAGGAAGGTAGACCTCATACGAGGCAGCACGACAGCAAAACATATCCCAGTGCGACCCTACCTAATTAGGAGCTGGATGATCTAGGAAAGCAACACCTATATCTAAACCGAAAGCACCATCAACGTCTACACCTGCATCTACATCCACACCAACATCAACAGCGAAACTCACATCTACATCTACATCTACACCTACATCTACACCTACGTCCACATCAACATATATACATATAACTACAGCTACATCTACATCTACAATTTCGTATCGGTGTTGCTGTTGTTTTGCATTGTCTTGTTTGTGTTGTTGTGTGTTTCCTTTGTGTGTTTGTTGTTGGTGTTGTTGTCTGGCTTGTGTTTGCTTTTGGTGGTTTCTTTTGTCGGAACATAGTATAGCATCCAGTGCCTTCGTCCCACTGGATGCTATGCTATGTTATCTTGATGCAGCGCTGCGCTATGCTAAGATAAGCTAAGCTAACCCTCTAAGCAGAGCCTAGGTAGGGAATTACACCCATGCTATGATATGCGATGCTGCGCTATGCTATGCTACGCTATGCTATGCTGTGCTGTGCTCTGTTATGCTAAAGCTCAGCGAAGCTAAGACGAAGGTAAGCTAGCTACGATAAACCTGAGCTAAGATGAACCTAAGCTAAGCTAAGATGAAACAAGCTAAAATAAGATGAGATAAGCAACGCTAAACTAAGGGGACGTAACTGGGGGAACCGCGGGGCGGATACTGGGGGAACCGCCCGGGGCGGGTTCCAGTGCCCGGCCCTTTAAGCACACCGAGTAAGAACCCTTCTAGGCAGAGCCTAGGTAGGGAAAAACGGAGTGACGTGTCGCCGGATTTGCATGGCCTGGCATTTACGGGTACCATCGGACGTGTCGCCGACGATCTCCGGCGCCCCCAAAGGGCCTCTGGGAGATACGTGAGACCTCCAGAGAGCCAAACCCCGCGGGATATCCAGAGTACATTGATCGTGCTCGTGCAATCCTGAGTGCAGCCTGGCGCTTGTTGCCTAAGTGGGAAGCTGGCGCTGGCCGGCCAGCACGCGGAGCTCCTCTGCTGGCCAGCGTGCCAGGACACACTGCCTGCCACATCGCGCAGTTTCTCTGCCAAATGTGCACGGGCTTTAGGCTCTACGACGCGGTCGACAACTGCCGAAGCTGCCAGCTCTGCTCGCCGAGCTACTGCTGCACGCGGCGTTCCAACTCTCCCGGCGGCGGCACGGACTCCAAGGCCCTGGCGTCTAGCAAGCATCTGACACGCACCAGCATGCCCCGAATGCGGCGCACGGACTCGGCATTCTCCCCCATGCTCCACGGGAGATTGCTGTATGCCATGTTCCACGCGTCCGCAAGACGAAAACGCTTCGCGGCTTTCTGGCTGAGCTGCCATGGGCTCTCCAGGCCTATCTGCTGGCACGGATCCGCAAGGGGTCTTGACCAGTACTGCGTGATGGTCCCTCAGTGCGGGACGTGTCCCGGGAGTGTCGCAAACTCAACGACGCATGGCCAGCCATGCCACCACATACGGCGGACAACTATAAGGAATGGCATCTTCTGTGGGCGTTCCAATCAGACTGAATTGGATTTCGCCACGACTTCACATACATGCGCATCTCGCCTGCACTCTGGCACCAAACGAATCAGAGTAGTTTCCCGTCTAGCACACGGCTCATCTGGGCATTGAGTCGGCACAGCTTGAACACAATGACGCGACGTTTAATTGAGGAAGAGCCACTTGCTAGTCTGACTAGATCACTTGAGAAGACATCTTCGTGTCGTGCCGACTCCGGCGTTGGTTTCTGACACCGCAGGCGTCGTTTAACCTTGAACGATCGGCCATTTCCGAAACGTCAGATCGTTCAACATCGACCGATTCTGGGTCGCCCGCGGCGTTAAAAGGTTGAACGCAAGCGCCGGAGTCGCCACCGATCGACACGGCGCGAACTTACCGTACTCAAGTTGATTCACAATCCCTATGCCACCAAGGGCCTCCGAAACCCTCGGTGAGCCTGGGGCTTCCCCGCTCCCCCCCCCTGGGAACCTCCAGACACGTCCAAGAGCCTCTGGCGAAACTAAAAGGAGCTACATGATGCCCTGACGCGGCCAGTTTCGCCAGATAGTGGAGCAACGAAGTGGTGAGACTTTGAGGTGGATGACCTTGGGGAGGAGGAGTACGAAGAGGAGAACGACGAGGAGTATAACCCAGCAGGGATACTCAAGAGATCACATCGCCGGCGGGTGTTCGCATCACGTACAAAGCTGCCGGCGAGCAAGTGTGTCCTGTACGGTAGAAGTAAGTGCGACAATGAAAAACTGGCGTGTTTTACATAAGCGCTACACTTCACGAGGTACTTGAAATTTGGACCCGCCAACGTGCCCTTCGCCATGTAGTCCAGTGGTCCAATTCCGAAGTCAATGGAATTCTTGTCGGGTTTTGAAAGCCTCCCCCTTTCTCCAGGCCGCATCCAGTCGTGCGCATCCCCCCACCACCCCCTCCAGAGCCCTCCGCCCCGAGCGTACCAAGGTCTTCCCATGTACCCAAGACGGCTTCCAAGACGGCCACAGGAGGGTCCTGCGGTCCCCAAGAAACCTCGAGTACGACCCATGAGGCCTCAGGGGGGAACCCAACAGACAGCAACACACCATTCCAACAATCAGCATCCGGAACCAGTACATGCTTCAGATGTCTAGCCCTGACAGGACGAGGGCGAGGAGGAGGAGGAGGCGGAGGAGGAGGGAGGGGGAGGAGGCGTGGAAGAATGCCACGGGCTGTCTGGTATGGCCCCCCTCTACCAGCAGACTGCCGCGTGCGGTCCCCCCTGCTCTCCCACACCAGTTCCCTCGTGTCCACTCGAGGATGGTGCACTTCCCGCATGGCAGCGAATGCCTGCAGCCCACTGCCACGCGTGCCCGCTCGAGGATGGTGCACCTCCCGCATGGCCGCCAGCGCCTGAACCCTCATTCCATGCGCGCCCGCTCGAGGATTGCGCACTTCTCGCATGGCTGCTGCATCCTAGACTCCGCATCACACGCGCACCCGCTCAAGGATCGTGCACTTCCCGCATTCCCAGGCGCTGCTCCCAGGCGCTCAGGGCCTCCCAAGCCACGGTCCCTGGATAAGCATCCTGCCGAAGGATCCGACCATATGCAGTTGTGAATACCGCAGTTGTGAGAACTGCCTTCGGTGGAGCTCTCTATCGGCACGAAGCGCGCGAAGGGTGCGCCGCAATGAGGCGGAGCCGCCATGCGAGCGCTGCCGCTGGGGCGTTCGGTGGAGCTCCCTATGAAGCCCCGAAACGTGCGAGGGGCATGCCAAATTGGACGGGGGCGCCATGCAGTTCATGCCGCTGCAGCCTTCGGTGGAGCTCCCTGTGCTGCCACGAAACGTGCGAGGGGTGTGCCAAAGTGGGCGGGGGCCGGCATGCGAACCATGCCAATGGGACCTTCGGAGGAGCTCCCTGTGGAGCCACGAAACGTGCGAGGTGTGTGCCAAAGTGGGCGGGGGCGCGGCATGCGAACCATGCCACTGGGGCCTTCGGTGGAGCCCCCTATGGGGCCACGAAACGTGCCAGGGGTGCCAAAATGGGAAGGGGGGCCGCATGCGAACACTGCCACTGGGGCCTTCGGTGAAGCTCCCTATTGGGCCACGGAACGTGTAAGGGGTGTGCCAAACTGGAGGGGGTGCGGCATGCGAACCATGCCACTGGGGCCTTCGGTGGAGCTCCCTGTGTGGCCACGAAACGTGTGAGGGGCGTGTCAAAGTGGAGGGGGGGACACATTCGAACCATGCCACTTGGGCCTTCAGTGCAGCTCCCTGTCTGGGAGCGACGTGTGTGTCCTGTGTGCCAAAGTGGACGGGGGGGCGGCATGCGACTCCATGCCACTGGGAAGTGGAGGGGGGGAGACATGCGAACTGAGCCACTGGGGCCTCCGGTGGAGCTCCCTGTGGGGGAGCGACACGTGTGAGGGGTGTGCCAAAGTGGACGGGGGGGCGGCATGCGAACCATGCCAATGGGACCTTCGGAGAAGCCCCCATATGGGGCCACGAAGCGTGCCAGGGGTGTGCCAAAATGGGAAGGAGTGCGGCATGCGAACCATGCCACTGGGGCCTTCGATGGAGCTCCCTGTGGGGCCACGAAACGTGGGAGGGTGTGCCAATAGGGAGGGGTGGTGGCATGCGAACCATGCCATTGAAGCCGTCGGGGGAGCTCCCTGTGGGGCCACGACGCGTGTGAGGGTATGCCGAAGCAGACACGTGAAAGGTTATTAATAGGATGATTGTGCTGATGATGATGCTGCTGCTGACGATGATGACGATGGCGATGATAATGACGAAGGTGATGATGGTGATGACGACGACGATGATGATGATGGTGGTGGTGATGATGCTGATGATGATAGTGGTGGCGATGGTGGTGATGGTGATGGTGATGATGGTGCTGATGATGGTGGTGGTGATAACGATGCTGATAGTGATGAGGACAACGAAGACGCAGCACCACGAGATGGTTTGGAACAACTATGGATATACGTTCAAACCTCCCAAGGCGACCCGTGCAAGCAACCAAGGACACCGAGATGGCCCAAGATGCCTCGGCGACAGCCTAAGATGGCCCCAGGGCGGCCGAATATTGCTTCAAGACTGCCCAAGATGCCTCCGCGAGGGCCCAAACGGACCACACGAAGAACTCGAGCTGGGCCCGAAGACGGCACAATCATTGATATCCCTTGGGTGTGTTGACAGATGTTCGCATTCTTGCCTTTGTCGGGTTGTCTTCAGTCCAAGGCGGCCCAAGAGGAAGCCACGATGACCCATCCGAGGCGACCCCAAGACGGCCCCGAGGCGGCCCTAAGGCGGTCCAAGAGGGCCTCCCGACGGCATCAAGACGGCCCCCCTGCGCCCCCCAGACACCAGTCATAGAGACAAGAGAACCCCGAGACGACCCAACAGGACCACAAGGGACCCACAAGACTGCCTCACAGGAGGCCAAGGCATCCCCGAGTTGGTCCAAGCGAGCTGCGTCATCATCAGCATCATCATCATCATCATCATCAGCATCATCATCATCATCAGCATCATCATCATCATCACCATCATCATCATAATCAACACCATCATCACCATCGTCAGCATCATGATCAACACCACCATCATCATCACCACAATCATCATCATCACTACCATCAGCAAAATCACCACCATCAGCATCATCAGCAGAACCGCCCCCGTCATCATCGTCAACATCATAATCATCAACACCGTCATCACCATCAACATAATCATCAGCATCAACATCATCATCATCATCATCATCATCAGCATCATCATCATCATCATCATCATCATCATCATCATAAGCATCATAGTCGTCATCAGCCTCATCAGCATCATCCTCATCACCATCATCCTTAGCATCATCAGCATCGACATCTTCATCATGACCCGCATCGCCTCCTCCTCCTCCTCAACATCAATATCACCATCGTCGCCATCAGCAACCGCAGCATCACCAACAACAACACCATCACCATCATCAGCACGTTCACCATCATCGCCGATCAACAACATCCTGACCACCACCACCGTCGGCGTCACCATCATCACCACCACAGCCATCATGAGCATTATCATCATCATCAGCAACATCATCATCACCAGCATCATCACCAGCAGCATCATCACCTCACCATCATCATAATCGACAAAGACATCGTCGTCATCATCATCATCAACCACCGCCAAGAATCAAGAACCATTATCCTTGTCATCACCCCCATCATCCTCATCACGGCACCCCCAAACCTGGAGACACGAGACGTCATTCGTGACGACCTCCAGTGCCCCCCTCGAACAGTCGCCACTCCGAATGCCTGGGCTGGCACAGTGGCGGGACCTGCTGCAGGTAGCTGGAGAGCCTCTGGGCTTCTCGAGAGGGCCTCAACGACGGCCCCAGAGCGGCGCAAGAGGAGCCAAACAATGCTTCTAGAGCGGCGGAAGAGGACCTAGCCGCCATGATGGGCGAAGAGAGCCCCTACGGGGCGCCCACACACCCCGAAATATTACACGAGGGCCTAAGAGAAGCTCCCCAGGACGCCCACAGCAGGCCCACATATGGCCTCAAGACGCCCCCCAAGTGCCCCAAGAGGCTTCCCAAACGTTTCAAGGCAGCCCTGGCAAACCCAAACTGTCATCACAGAACATGTACGTTCCCCTTTCTCCTCTACCCGATCTCGCCGTCAGCCTCCTCGCTCATAATCAGGACGGCCGTCTTCCCTTCCACTTGGGAACCGATCGATGTCATGTACTGGGATCTCGGACCTGAGGGAGAACGGCGTCCAAGGTTACTGCCCTGGGCACAGAGAAAGGGAACCATCAAATGCTACGGCCTCCTCGAACCCAGCAGAAAGCCGTATCCAGTGCTATGCCCCTCCAGCACATTGGGACAAGAACTGTCGGATGCTACACTATTCTCAGAGGGTCGCTATACAAAGTGCTGCGCTTGCGCGGTGGCGGACTTGCAGCAATGTCGCTGCAAAGGCGGAGAAGGAGTGAGCTGGGTGTAGTGGTCGTCGGCAGTTTGCGAAGCTTTGAAGACATGTGAAGAAGCCAGCGTAGGCGCCGACCCCGCAACTAGAGGGCAGAAAAACCACCCCCACAATAACCACCCCGACAAGCGAAGCCGTTTAGGGAACGCCCCCAGGGAAGGAATCGAACAGGGCAGGGCCGTTTAATAAACGCCCAGGGCCGTTCAGCAAACGCGAATTATCGGGTTCTGGATGGTTTGTCCTCCCTAGGAGGAGGAGGAGGAGGAGGAGGAGGAGGAGGAGGAGGAGGAGGAGGAGGAGCAGGATGCACTTTGCACAACGAGCCCGCCGCAGGCGCCCAGTGTCTGTCAAAGCAATGCAGGGGAGGGTCGTACATGGCACGTCGGCGGGCCGGCGGGCAAACCGCGTGGCGTGCCGCGGCTGGGTTATCGGGTGTGCTGCGGGCGGGTCGCCACGGGAGGGGCACGGATGGGCCGCTGGGCGGGTCGGGGGCTGGCCGATGTGGGGAAGGGATACGCGGAAGAGGCGAGGGAGGAACGAGAGATGCAGAAAGGAAGAGAAAGAGGGAGAGAGGGAGAGCCCCCCCAACAAAAAACAAAAAGCATGCGAGCGATGAGGAGCTGGCCCTGAGGCAGGGCAGGCGGGTCTCTCCTCTGAGAACCTCTCCTCGTACAGCTGGACGAATCTGTCAAACTCGTCTTCGTCCAGCGTGCTAGACGCGGCGGGGAGGGGCGTGGAATCAGACTTTGTTATGTTCTCTCTCTCTCTCTCTCTCTTGCTGTCGCGACTTCTGCCTCGCAGTATCCACAGCCGCACTTGGTGTGACAGGCGTGGCCAAGTCGACCTCGAATAGGATGCCTGCTTGCCCCTTTGGGAACACTGTCAACGTGGAACATGGTTGGAGAGAGGGAAAGAGTGAGAGAGAGAGAGAGAAACAAAAAAAAAAAAGGAGAGGGAGAGAGAGAGATACAGAGAGAAACAGAAAAAGAGTGAGAGAGAGAGAGACAGAAGAAGAGAGAGAGAGAGAGAAAGAGATCGTGAGAGAGAGGGAGGGTGGTCCCCTTCCCTCCTTGATACGACTCCTGCTCATCCAGATCCCGAATCGCCATCCTTCGACAGCGGACCTCCTTCCCAATCGCCAGGCACATGTGCCTCCTGCT